AGCAAATTCAGGATCTGCGTAGCCACTCGAGTGTTCGTCCGGCTCTTGTGTTTAGGTGTTTGGAGGAGTGGGCCGGGTATCGCTTTTGCCTATGCAACCAGGCGTGCCCTGGCTGTCACTTTAATAGCAATTGGTCGTCGATTGTGATCCAAGGATCAAGGTATGATGTCGAGTGGAAGTGCGATCGAGCTTCGATCAGTGAACGTCTTGATAAACAACTTCTGATGATTCAGTCGGCCTGGGCCCGTGGCCGGCACCGTGCTTCACCACGGAGGTTGGTAGTTTAAGGGACCCGACTGCTTATACAGCAATTTGAAGCCGCAGACTCCGACGTCACTAGAACCTGCTCAATAGTTCTAGCACCACGGACGCCGATTTGCATCCAACAAGCAAATTAGAAGATCGAGGGCCCTATTCCCATTCCAGGAGGGGCGATGCTGTACGGTAGTCTCGTGCTCCCACCAAACACAAGATAGAATGTCACCCCACCGAAGAGATTTCTCGGCACCACGAGACAATCGGTCACCTATTAGGTGACGGATCGAATGTCTTTTCCGGCCCTTAATTCTTTCTCAGATGATGAGCGAATGAGTGGCCGTGCCTTTCGTTTCCACTAACGGCATTCAAGGTCTTCCTCACTGCCGCTCCGCGTACCTGCTTCACACCATTGTTAACGTCAGAGCACATGCTGGGTTGGGTGACATTTGCCCAGATCGTCACATCTTTACTCACAGGTTCCCTCTTCAGCCGCACTATCGACTGTGTATCCTCGTGGTGACCTTTCCTTTTCTCGTACTTTGGCCTCCGGCCCCTTTCCTTCTCCTCCTCCGTCTATCGCCTCTTCCCCTGAGGCTGTGAGAGTCGAGTGACTAGTCACGGGGACATCCAACGTTGTCCCGAGGCCTGAGCGGTAATATGGTTCGAGGCCCTTGATGACTACACTCTGGCGTGCTCACGCATTCGCCCTAGTTATAGGATGTGGTGAGATCTGTTTTGTCAAAAATAACATAGGGCAACCTGATGGTGTTGTGTCAAAGCAGGACAAGCTTCTCGTCCCTTCCCCACGTGAACTATTAGGCTTCCAATAGGAAGATGTGGCTGGTATGAATCCGTGGCCGTGGGAAAGCCAATGCTGAATGATGGAGGAGCCATGTGTGGATTCAAGTCGACGCCCTGATTGTGTTTGCATTAACTCGACAATCGAATTGGCCAGTACCCCCGCCTTTACCGCCCAAAGGGGGACTTGGGGACAGCTTCTGGGAAACATGAGCTGGAATTGGACCTGGGAAATAGGTGGACTCCTTTGGGGGGAGGAGACAGGAAACCGGGGCTGGGATTAGGTCCGGGAAGGGGACGGGGACCGATTGTAAGTGGTACTTGGGGCATTCGTGCTCTGTAAAAGTGATCGGCACATATCGAGACCTTGCCCATCCAGCCTTTATTGGACATCTTGGCTTGACAAGCCCTACCGCTCACATGTCAAGCGCGGAAGAGTGCATGTTTGAGGCGCCTATATCTTCCCTGTCAGTGTCGTTCTCCGAGTTCTGTCAGTTTGGCGCGATGCCGAATCATGTTGTAGTAACAATTGTGAGCGGTCAGATCTGGATCTTCTTAAACTAGGCTATCCGGCCACTCCACAAGGCTCTTGCCCGTTCTAAACTGGAGAGAGAAGGACGTTATTCATCCGTTATCTCTCATAAAAGCCAAGAGTCCGCTCTGTCAAGTGCCAGAGCTCGACCAGTCCAGGTATCCTCGTGGCTCATCGAAAGAAGGACCACTCGTAAGTCGAGAAGCTCACTGGGCATACTGGGAATAAAGACCAGGTGACTGAGGCACGGCCATCGTGATACTAGATGATACCACGAGTTTCTTCATTTTGCTATGACTTCGTATGGTGGCCCGGTTGTTTCGGATCCAGCAGCACGGAGATGATAACTGTAACTAGATGGTTCCATTGATTTGGTAATTTTGACAGGAACACTCCAACCAGGTACGGATGGCTTCTGATCCAAATCAGACCGCGTACTGACCACACAATTCCGTATGTATATGTCTGTATTATGGTGGTCTGATCCAAGTTCGCAACCGAGGAGCGGGGGGGGTGGCTGGCTACAACCAGGGGGGAGGGGGCCGCAAGCCTGTAGCCCACCCAACGAAAATGTATGCCATGCCTGGGAAAAGAGGACCCTGGGCTAAAGGGATTCACGGTTGGATGATGAAGCTAAGACGTTTCGAGGGGAATTGGGGACTAATGGAGCCGGATGTGGTTGTTGGCCGTTGAGCTGATATGTCGTTTTGGGGGGGCGTCGTTAGGATTGAACATGACGGACGGGAAAGACAACGGTTTTTTGTGGGCTAAACCATGTCCATCTATCGCTGCCGTCTTCGTGGCGGTAGTCTTTCTTAGCCCTTTTGTTCGACGTCACTGTTTCTGGGTCTCGTTTCCTCTTTTCGGCGGTGACATTTCTTTTTTTCTGATGGCGCTGAGTTCGCTGTAGAGTGTGAACAAGTTATGCTCGTCGACCGAGATGGCGCAGACCAGTCGTTGGCCGACAGCCAACGTCACTTCGGAAAGCAGGAGGAATACATCCCTCTTCACCCTATGCAGAGTGCAGTTAGCCCGGAGCTGCTTCTCCTCTTGTGAAACAGACAATCGATTATGTAGTGGCAGGGCTTGCATAATGGTTTGTGTGGCTTGCTCAGCCCTGACAATTCATATCGAAAATGTTGTATAGGTCATATTCAGCCCTGATCTACATTCGGCCGCGAGTAAGTTGCCTTGTGAGGGGAAGTTCTTGGGATGGATCAAATACAGGCGGAATTAGTCAACCGTCTGAAACAGAGGAAAGAGTCCTTTCGGAAGGCAGCCGCACTTTCCTAGGACAACTTATGGAAGAATGGACTGGATGCCGCATACACCTCAGATACCTACTGTGCCTAGGTAGGTAACTACCAACCCTGCGCCTGCCCTGTCCTGCACGGGGAGTAAGGTGTTTGGGAAGGTGCGACGCAGAACGGGTACCTTCTTCATGCCAGCCAGGTATTACACGATGTGCGCGTTGTGTGTGGAGCTGATGAGGAGGAAAGTTGGATGTAGTATAAAGCAAGGTAGGTAACGGACAGGAGAATTGTGGTGTTAGTTTAGTTACTCGACGGGAAACCGAAGGAATTGCTCGAAAAGACGAAGGATTTATAGAGATCGTGACAGGTCAACTTCCCTGTCACTTACACAGATTCAGTTCAGGTCCAGCAAGTCATAGTTACGTCTTGAACTCATGTAAGAAAACGTTTTCTATAACTCAAAAGCTTGTTCTGCGGAAGACAGCGATAGCGAGCGCTCCTAAGAACCCTGGAAGGGTCAGATCATGGATATTCGACTCGAACAGACTACTCCCCTTCGACTGACGGGGCCTTCTGTTATAGGACCCAGGCATTATTTGTGATACCCTCCAGGCTCCATGCTCAAGGTACCCCTGATCCTCGGTTCTGCAGGCCGAGTAGCCGGTCGTTCAGGTTGTCAGAACCCTCTCGTGCATTATCGCTGACGGGACACAAATATTCATCTGCAGGCTCCCATCCTTCACACGACAATTAGCCAGGCATTTCCAAGGTGACCCTACCAACGGCCCGGCCAATTCAATGCGCTGACTCGGATACGGCCCCCCTCCTGTGAACCCACGTCGGAGCCGGAGTGTGTGAGCTGTCACATACTAATGCGGTAATACATGAAAAATGTTTTTTTCTCTCTTCTTTTTCATTTACTGCGCTCCATGTTACGCTGAACTTCGGCAGAAGCAAAACTTCGCTTACACCCCTGGCCCCGGCTGATCTGATCTTTGTCCAAACCTTAAACGACAAGGTCTTGGACCTTTGAATGGCACCTTTTTTCTCCAAATATACCCAATAATACGAGACTTTGAATTTTAGCCCTCGGATCTCGTTATTATTACCAGAAAGGGCAATTTCTATGACACCAAATCTTGGTGCATTGAGCTGATCAACATCACCACGAGGCTTTGGTATCAGATCACCTTCAAGTATTGCAAGAGTTCTACGTACCTCAGCTTTGCAGTATATCTTAGTCTCTTAACCTGTCATCGCCGATCAAGGGCCACCCCTGATCGTCGGAGCCAAACCGAGAGCGTTCAGCAACTATCCGTCTCCACCTATAGAATCAGCAAGACTCGCATTGGGTGTACAGGAACGCACACGACAGTGCAGGATCGTGATCTACAGTAAGCAGCCAGCCTTCCGGAGAATATCCATCCATATTTTCTTTTCTTCAACAGAACTGTTAGCTAGGTAGGTAGTGTACCTATTTACGTATTTGCCTTGGCGCTCGTATGTTGTTTGCGACTCGTGAGCGCACCATAACAGAGACTGATACGATGGTAATTAGACTGTTCGTTGTAAAGCCGACGATAAGATTTTATGGGGGGTTTCTCTTAATAGTCGTCACTAGCTCTTTGCGGCTGACAACTGACGGGCGATCCAAATGTACCCCTCTCCAGGTGTCGAGGACAAGGAATACCCCAGATGGCTTGATCAATTACGAGCCTGCAGTAGATAGGTATGTTACAGGCTGAAGGACATCCCGAGGCTCTTTCAACTCGATGACTTATTATTATTATAGTTTGTTGATGAATAATGTTCCATAATAAGAAACTCGGCGTAAAGCAAGCTTAATTTCATCTAGCCTCAATCGATCTAGTCTGGTCTACTATATGTCAATGCCATGGATGTCATGACCAATACTCACCGCAAAGTTGTTCTCAACATGAGTCGTGCAGAAAGGCAACTTGCTGGCCAAACTATCAAAGCGGAAATAATTGTAATTGGAAAAATTTACGACTACATGAACCCAGGTGGAAGTGTCAAATCGTCTTTCTAGCCCAAACGCCCCAAGAGTTTTTCCTAGTCCCGCTCCCATTAAACTGCTCACGTGTCTCACTTCAAGGACACACACGCACTCCGTAACCACATGCCTAGGTATGCTACGTTTAGCCTGTCTTCTTCTTCTTCTTGGGACGCTCCTCTTCAGCGTCCTCGTCATCATCATCCCGTTCTTCATCTTCATCCACATTGCTCTCGTCACTGCCTGAGCCAGAGCTCTCGTGGGCACTGTCGTACTCCTCTGCTACATCGCTTTCGCTATCAGTTCGGAAGTCCTCATCCACGCTCTCCTCATCCTCATCAGCGGAGCCACGATCAGCCTTGGCGGCAACTTCGTCCTCGGAGTCATCCATCTGCTGATCGAGGGCGGCAGCAAGGAGGTTGGCATCCTCGTCAATCTCGTTCTTGACCCGCAATCCTTTGAGCTTGAAGAAGCTTTCAAGGGCCTTGAGGTCCTCACGACTGATATTGCTGAACTGGGACGAGCCGGCACCATTCTTTAAGAGAACTGTGATGTCAAATGTCGATAGTGCTGAAACAGCTCCGCTGACACGAGAGAAAGTAACCGATTGTGTCTGTTCGTAGGCGATGTAGACAGCGGGCTTGGGCACGAACATGAAGGCCTTCTCCAGACAGTAGAGGAAACCCTCGCTTGCCTTGATAGAGCACTTGATGCCGTATTGGCTGCGGTGTCTGCACGCGAGTCAGTAATCTCATGGCGCAGCAGAAAACAGGGGACATACGTGATGAAGTCCTTGGCAGGGGATGAAATCTTCCTGTTACCCAGACCACGGAAGATCTTGGCGACAACTTGGTGGAGGGGTTCCTCGTAATGAGGTTCCAGCTTGTCTTGGTACTTGCTCTTAAGCTCGTCCTCGTTCAAGTTAAGGTCAATAGTGACTTCCTCGTCCTTCTTAAACTGCATCACAACGAAGGGGTATCGCGTTTGACCTTGACGCAGGGGCGGATCCAGACCCATAACAAGCATGTAGTGCACCTCGTCAGGCTTTGGAAGTACCATGAACTTCTTGATGGCCTCGTATTGAATCTTGTAGTCGTAGGTTTTGCCTCGGAGTCGGAAAGAGGCTTCGTACATGTCGATATCAAAACGACCTCTATAGATAATGTATTAGCGTGGGCACAAAACAGGCAGAAAACTGGGCATACCTGGGCGTGAGATGTAGGACATCCAGGAAAGTGGCGATAGTATCGCCAGCAGTCTCGCCAATCTCAGCCTTGTCAATCAGAGTCTCATAAAACAGAGTAGCGGCATTCTTTTCCTGCTCGTCGTTACCGGCATCGCTGCCTGCGTCCTCTCCTTCAGCCTCCTTGCGAGTCGTAACACCAGGGATGTAGAATCGCATCTCGACAAGCTGGTCCCGACCAGCGGCAGCCTTGGATCCTTTCGACCTGGCACCACCGAGCTGGGCATTAGCGCCTGTATCAGGGAGTGCCATCTCTACTGCCACCTCGTTGCGGCCAGCGAGGTTGGTGTTTCCAATTTCCGAGTAGGCCAATTCGAATGCGGGCCGGTTTTGGACGCTGAATGTGAGTTCGGACTTGGAAAACTCGGCTTTGCCCCAGTTCCAGCCTCGCAGTGCATGCTCCTTGCTCTCAAGGACAGTGCTGTACCAGTTCTTGAAGACCTTGGCAAGGCGGTCGTAATCTTCTTGTTGGAAGCCATCGAGCTGGATTATGCCGGATTTGGCGCGCTGTACAATCTTGATCTCATAGCCCTTGGCAGCGCGACTCCATTGTGCAGAGGCGATGTTGTTGTGATCGAGGGTGAAGGTATCGCCGCCGCCCACAGGCTTCCATCCGAAACCGGTCTCTGCGAATCTGCACTTTCCGCTCTCCTTGGAGAGATCCAAGTAGATGTTATCGAAGCTCTCGCTGTGATTTTGATGGCTTTGTTAGCTAGCTGTTGCTGCGGCAATGCTTATGAGGGCCATCAAAGGATCGAGCAACCTCAAGATCTGTGGCGAGAGAAAAGGGGGAATTATGAGAAATCACATACATAGCAGTCATTTTGGCGACTGATAGAAAGCTTTATATGCGCGGAAATATGCTGCGACAAGAAGATGCTGTCGTCCTTGTGAGGTGACGATGTGTTACGATTGGATGCAAGGCACGGTTTAGTCTGAAATTTGAGTGCACCCTCAGCTTAAAGGTTCAGGTCGCGGTCGGCGCGCGTCTTCACGCGGCCACTATAAGATGCCCCACTTTAGTTATATGTTACTCCATGTCTCACTGGTTGGAGGCATTAACACAATATCATAGGTGCCGACTTGAAAGCTGATAACGCGGTAACTTATAAGGTAGACAGACAGCTTAAGAGGCCCAGAATTGAATATCGAATGGGGAAGCTAAAATTCAATTTATATTGTGACATCCAAGTCTCTGTGCATCCTCTTAGCTGTCTGCTCTTGGTAACAGAAGCTAAATTGCTGATGACCTAACCACCCATTGCATGGAACCTTAACTGTCGCTAATGACACCACGAGTAATTGCAATATCTGTGTGAATACCAGTATTGCGCAGAAATCCATAGAATGAGGTAAACAATGCAAGGTAGGTAGCATGTGAATTCAACCAAATCGACAAAATAGCAAGTCATCGCCGAGTCCTTAGGCCCCGTGCACTATTAGTTCCCCAACATTGCCTATGTCGGCCCTCCATGTGACCCTTTCTCCGGTCTCCAGTCTCCACTTCCAGCGATAAGGTGCATAACATCATAGGCTTGATAACAGTCGCCGCCTTCATCCATCCATCTTCATGATCTACTACTATCAATACCTTTCTCTGCTTTCCATCAACCTACTCAACAAACTTCAACTCAAATCGTATATGCGTCTTTCCTTCTGCTCAGTAGGATGGTCAATACCCTCATGGCAACAAATCGCCGCTCCCGACTGTCGGGCTCTCGATGCGCCTCGACTGGCCGCGTAACCGCTGCCTTGTTGCTATCATTCCTCGCCTTCTCGCCATCGTCTGCTCACAATGACATCGGCGACCGATTCCACGACGACGTCCTGTTACCTCCTGGGCCAGCACTTCCAGTATCGCCAGAAGTTCCTGCACCCGCTGAGCATACCTTCAGCCTTCGGCACATCTACCATCATGGCACACATCTCCACCCAGGCCTTCATCGGAAGCGAGATGTTGTTCATGACGAGTCAAGAGTCTACCTAGCTGCAGAAGACGAATACGGCGAATATGATGTCTCTCAGTTAAAAGCCAAGAGCCATCCCCAGACAATCCAGCGTCTAGTAGACCGGAGGCCATCCGTCGTCGACCCTATGGTCGCTGAGTCTCGGCAGAGAGGATACGCGGCTGTGCTTGATGCATCAGCATGGACTATGGATCAGGTTTCTTCACCCGACATCAAAGATAAGGACACTGTTTTGACCTTGGCTATTATGACGGCCAACGCGTACGTCAAAGATGAAACAGAAACCGATTGGGAGGATGTTGGAGAAAGATGGAATCGCAGCGCCGATTTCGGATGGGAGTCTGATGGTCTTCGCGGCCATATTTTTGTTGATGATACGAACTCGACTATTGTCATCGGATTGAAAGGCACGTCGATGGCTGTTTTTGACGGAGAAGGCACCACAACCAATGACAAGGTCAACGACAACCTGTTCTTCAGCTGCTGTTGTGCCCAACAAGGTCAGTGGACCTGGCATCAAGTCTGTGATTGTGCCACAGGCACGTATTCATGCAACAACACTTGTGTTGTCCAGGCTCTAAGGGAAGAGAACCGCTACTATGGCGCTGCCCGCGAGCTATACTCGAATGTCACAGAACTCTATCCTGATGCCCAAGTCTGGCTGACAGGGCACTCGCTTGGTGGCGCCGTCACCTCGATGCTGGGTATGACATATGGTCTTCCCGTCGTTACATTTGAAGCCGTCCCAGAGGCGCTTCCAGCTTCCAGACTGGGTCTGCCTGTCCCTCCTGGTGCTAGTGCCGACTATCCCCAAATGCGCGAGAACACAGGCACATTCCATTTTGGTCACACTGCAGACCCTGTCTATATCGGAACATGCAACGGCGCAACAGCTTCTTGTACCTATGGCGGCTATGCTATGGAAAGCGCATGCCATGCTGGCTACGAATGTGTATACGACGTTGTCGCCGATAAGGGATGGAGGGTCGGAATTGGTACACATCGGATCCGTTCTGTCATTGACGATGTCATCAAGAAATACGATGGTGTTCCCGAGTGCAGACGAACTCCTGAATGTAGGGACTGTGCTCAGTGGAAGATGTACGAAAGTAATGGCACCGAAACCACCACAACATCATCCTCACCAACCTCGACCTCCATGACTACCCGTACTCGGACCCGCACCTCAACTTGTGAGACGCCCGGCTGGTGGGGTTGTCTTGACAAGACCACACCCGCTTCGACCACAACTTCGGCCACGTCGACCTCCACGTCGACCTGCAAGACGCCTGGCTGGTTTGGGTGCAAGGATAAAACGACTACCGAGAGCAGCACTACAACGACCGTAGATGCTACTCCTACGACGACTTGCCATACTCCTGGAAGGTTCTGGGGCTGCCGCGACGAAGTTGAGGCCACAACAACAGCTGAACCTGGCCAGGTTACGAACGTGCCTGTCACGGCTGCGCCCACAGGTACAATGGAAGACGTTCCTAGCACGAGCGTGCCAGAAAGTCAGAGATGTCTCACTCGTAACTGGTTTGGGTTATGCAAGGAGTGGGCTGTTGAAGACATGGAATTTTCCCCAGATGAGATGTAGAACTCGGCACTGAGGGGTCCAATCTTAGCAGGAATGTGCAGACCATCTCTCGTATCTCATACATCGATCATTGGGCGAAGCAACACGCAGCTCTGCCTGTTATAGCGGCTTGATTTCCGTTTTTCTGTCTCTTGACCGGGCACCTGGCTGCGATATAGAGGGACCCGCTCAGCGTTTAGCCATGATAAGTTTAGCGTTTTAGATACACTCATGAAAATCATGAGGATGGAGTTTTTGTTTTGTATACTGGAGGATACGGCGTTTGATTAGGTACAAATGACCGGGCTACAGTTTTGAACACATGCGATCTACATATGAGAGTCGCACATTTAGACGAATGAGATATATCAAATATCAGAATATATTTTATTATTAAATCATTCACAATTTGTTACTGTTCAACACGTCGCGAACATTGTGTCGCTGGAATGCGCCTATCGTATTACACCGTTCTCAGGGAGCAAGAAAACATGAGACCTTAAAAGAGGATGTTAAAAAACGAACTTATTAAAGATTCTCCTAAACTTAGAATAAATTGCCCAAGTCTTTTCATCACTTAGGACAAAGGTCTCAAGTTTTCTTGCCTCTCCCTGACCGTCTGCCGTGATGTCAGCAACCTACTAAAAAAAAATCCATCCCCAAGTCTACTAGTCTTCTCCCCACCAAAAAACGCGTTCGTCAACCTTGCATCTTCTATCTTTAGCTTCAATCCCACCAGGCGACGAGCCACAGCACAACACCGCTCCATTGTATCAACTTGGATATCGTTCAACATACGCAATGTGATAACTTTGCGCCCATTTCGTCCCGACAATCGATAACTCGCGATGGAAACGGAATCCAAACCGTCCGATATGGGGACTCCCTTGTCTTCCACGTTATCTAGCCTCAGTGACAGCGACAGTGACGCTGAAGCTTCGAAGGCTGCTGGCCCCAACAACGACACCGATAGCCAGAATAATAACGAAGACACGATAGAATGGCTGGCTACAACTCGAAAGCGCCGTTCTACCGCGGGCAACAGAATGAAGTCGATGCTCGCCAACGAGGAGCCTGATTCAGATCTCGAACTGCTTTTCGCCGAAGACGAGAACGACCAGGGCTTTTCCGATGCTGAAGAGAACGGTTCGGATGTCCAGATGGACTCTTCAGACGATGAAGACGAGAACGACCATAATGATGATGACCTCGAGGGCGAAAAAGAATTGGAAAAGCAGGCCAAGGAACGTCGCGCTGCCCAGCGCAAGCGAAAGGCGCAAGAAGCCATCCCTGCCAAATTCCGCAAGAAAGTCCGTATCGATCCTACAACGAGAACGCCTGCACCTGTGAAGCCCGCGCCACGACCTAAGAAGAAATCTGAGCGCACTTCATGGCTGCCGTCTGCCGCGGACCTACCGACACGAGCCTCTTCCCGCCAAACGACTCGACTCTCCAAGGAGCAACTGCATCAGCAAATGGTGGAGCGAGAGGCGCGCCGGATAAAACAGCTGGCTCAAATGCAGAAGAAAGCTGCCAAGCTGGAGGCGATGAAGAAACCACCCATGACCCAGGAGGAGCGATTACGAGAGGCAGCCATTGTCGAGAAGCGCAATAGCAAGAGTCTGAATCGCTGGGAAGAGGCTGAGAAACAGCGTGAGGAAGAACGTCGAGCGAGATTGGCGGCACTTCACAACAGAACGCTGAAGGGACCTGTTATTACTTTTTGGAGTGGAATTGGTGAATGGATGGGAAGGCATATGGTGATTGAGGAGCCTGCCAAGGAGAAGAGGAAGAGAGGCGAGAAGGCAAAGGGTAAGGATAAAGACAAAAACAAGGAGAAAGCTGGTCCAATAGAGCACAAGAAGGAGGACGGTCAAAATGGCACGCCAGCTACAAATGGTGAAATCGTCAACGCCAAAGAGGGATCGCAACCTTCACAGGGCAAACTACCAAGCACAACGTCAGCAGAGCCTATAACAGCATCTGACTCCAAAGACACAAAACCAGCTACTCCTACTAAACCTGTTGAAGATGTCACGAAACCCACAGATGCACCATCAACTTCAGAGACGAGCGGTGCTCCTCCAGCGGTTCCCAAGACTGAAGACATCCCTCCTCCGATGACTATGCCACCACCTCCTCAACCGCCGCCTACACCTCCAAGCAGTTTGGCTGCTCCAGCTCCTCTACCATCGACCTTCGTGCCAGCTCCAAGCCCTCCTCGATCTCAGGATCCTCCACCAAGTGGTCTCGCTGCACCACCACCGCCTCCACCTACGCCCGCTGGGTCAGTATCAACGACAAATTCCTTCGTGGCTCCTCCATCAGGGCTATCTCGCCCACCAGATTCTAAACCGTCTGGCGTTCTAGCAGCACCCATACTTGCTCCTCCTCCAGGTATTGGTATCAACGGAAATGCGCCCCCCATGATGGGCTTCGGCAATCCCAAATCCAATGTCCTGGCACCACCAAATACGTCTCAAGGGGCCATGCCTCCTACACTCACTGCAACTGCTCCTCTTCATAACACTCCTCCGTCAACTATCTCACCCCCTCTGTCAAATCCTTCAACAGGAGTTACACACATATCCTCTACAACGAATATTCAACCCAAAACTATCACGCCCGTTCCCCCAACCAAGTCTACCAGTCCCGACACTCCCGCTATAGCCCAAGCCCCTGACTCTCAAACGCAACCTCCTCAGCCCTCGACCGGAGCTCGCAATGCCATAGTCTTCCAGAACTTCGACGACAACGCCCTCAAGGATCGTAGTATTCAAACGCAGATCATCTTTGGCCGCAAGATGAATAAGCTTTCCAGTAAGTTTGCATGGATGATCTTCAATAAACGTCACGTTCTCTAACCCTGGTCAGAACCTTCTCCTGCGCCTCTTTGCGTAATCACAAATCATCCCGCTCGGTATCGGGATCCGCGTACCGGCCTTCCTTATTATAATGCCTACGCGTATCGGGAGATCCAACGCCTTACCCGGGGCGAGTACCGATGGAGCCACATCCTTGGTGCTTGGGTCGGTAGCGGCACATATGCTGCACGAGGCGTCCCCGAACGCTTCCTGAACCCTGACAAGAAGGGGCCTGAGAAGAAATCTACGCCTGAAGAGGGCCTCAAAGGCAAAGATGCTGTCAAGGCCCCGGATCAAGCCCAGGACCCGCAAACAAAAACCCCTGATGTTCCGTCGGGTATCCCGACTACGGGGGACAAGATGACTGGGGTCGAACAAGGGGCTTCCGCACCACCAAACTCTGAGCCTAATCAGACGATACAACCCAAGATGGCGCCGCCGGCAGTCACTCAGCCTACAAAGGCTACGAATGCAACGGCCGCAACCCCAGAAGCGCCAAATATTACTCCTACTCCAAAAGCTCAAACTCCAACAAACCCCCAACCAACTACCGCAGAAAAGCCCCCATCACCACTTCAGACAACTCAATAATATTCGAGACGATTTGCATGGATCACTATTATGGTACTTTTTCTGGATAGATAAAGAGCTGTTGAATCGCAGGGATTGGCATTATAACATGACAGCGAATACAATATGTACCACTATGTATGAGTACAAAGCATTTTGACAGCACAAAAGCACGGCTGAGATTATTCACCATTTGACGTGTCAACAGAAGTGTGTAACTGGTAAAACCAGTGTTGTAGGTTGGTTGTAATTGTGTCTTATCTCATCTACCAAGATTGTGCCACCTGCCGATCGCTATGTCATCTACATACGCATGCAGATAAGAGCAAATCAGTCCAACCCATAATCCTCGTCTTAGGCCCAAGATTCGTGTTTCGATAACTGCCATGTCGTCCGTCTCGTGAACCATACCACCCTTCCCTCACATACTCCTTTGGAATTCCATTGTTACACGGCCGTCTATTTCGATTCGCCCAGATCCTTTTCTTATTACCCCTTGGGGATTGTTGTACGTTTGACATCTCGTTGAGCTGCCTATGCTTGCGCCATCCCCTCTTGTTCCTTTTAAAACTCCAAATGCAAATCCCGCTGTGTTATGTTCATCAAATGTTGAACCCAAATTTTTGAAACCCAGTATTGAACGCCGTCGAAACAATGTTTATCATAGAGTATGGTGGGCGCTGAAGCCCAAAATTAAGTTGTATCGTATCAGATACTATGTGAGTATGTTGTAGCTGACTAGTTGGCCTTGGAGCCAATAACGTCAACCATCCAGCCCAGCTCGGCCGCAAAGTCGTCCAGACCGGTATCGATAGGCGCACCGAGGAAGTTTCCGCTGTCGCCGCGAGAAAGAAGCGATGTAGAGTTAACCTTGGCGTAGGCCGATTGGGACTCGACAATTTTCCGTCCTTGTTCCCGAGACTCCGGGAGACTGTAGCACTCGAAGGAGTCAGTAGTAGGGGCCATGCCAGGAACAGGCTGAAATGCGAGGATGTCACTGTTGCTGCTTGATACAACGTCGTCCTCATCATCGGTAAGATCAAAGAAGTTGCTTCCTTCATCTTCAGGAAAGTTTGGCGTGGCCGGCGACAAGAAGAAGCTCGTGGCAGGGTTGATTCGAGAGTTAGGAGCCCGAAGAGTCTCCAGCCTAGGTCGCGAAGGAAGAACAGCAGATGCAGGCACACCGCTGACCTCTAACAAGTCCTTCCTAGATGGTTTTGAAGGGATCAGAGGCAGCGTGCTTGAATGAGCGGCATCACTCCTGACTGACTCGGAGGAAATAGTTCGCTTGAAGGGAGGGGGTGAGAGACGAGTGACATAGGGCTGTCCATCAGATGCTGCTGAAGTAGCAAAGTTATCGTCGTCATCGTTCTCGTTATCCTCTACATCTTCAGGGATGACTAGAGATGGTCTTTCACTGAGGTTAGAACCAGGGCGAGGAGGAAGGTCATCCGATAGGAAGCGTCGAAGAGATTCTGGTGAGATATCTCTTGTTCGAGTACCCTCTGATGGCGTCGTGCAACGTTCGTCGATATCCTCGGCGGGACCAGACAAGTCGTTGCGGATGGGAGATCGCCCACGCTCGCCCTCAGAGTTCACCTTTCGACCAAACAAGCGCTTCCATGCCGCCGGGGCAGGTGATAATGAACGGGACGAAGACTTGTGATTTAGTGATGGAGATGAGCCAACCCGGTAGGGAATGTGGTTGGCTGGTACTGAAGGTGCAGGTCGAGGGGTAATGTACTTGGATTCGGGATTCATGGTCTTGAGATCGGTGGCACGCATAGAGGTGAGAGAAGCACTTCGCTGCCTGAGAGCCTGCTCGACAGGAACGATTAAAGTATTGACAGTTTGACCAGGTAGGTATGGGCATGCTGTGGTTGAAGGGAGGCTAGGGTCGTGTGTCTCGACCGAGCCATCTAGCTCATACTGGAAACCCATTGTTAATATAAATGAATGACTGGATTAAATAATAAACAAATAGTGAATGAATGAGTGAATAAAGAATTGAAATAAGTGAGAGAGGCGATGTTGATTAAATGTGTTTCGGTGGTTGGGTAAACGAGTGTTGATGTATATAGTCGGGTTCACTAGTTTAAGGCAAGGGAGAGGAATGGGTTTGTTATGAGGTGATGTGCAATGCAATGCAATAAGATGGCATATACCGAAAGGGATAGAACAACATACGTAGTAATAATAGGTATGACCCATCTTAAGACCACCGTGCCTCTTGTTGGGATACGAAGGTGCTGTGCCAGTACCTGAGCTTGAGCTTGTTCCAGCGCCTACGCCAGCGCACGTCGCAGAAGCCGAGACGGAAACGTCGTCACAGACAATGTCACGGAAAGAATAGCAACCTCTCCACTGATCACGGCCCCGCCGGATGTCTCGTTGCATGGGGTGAGATTGGCTAAAATTGTCCCACGACCCAATAAGCTGCACGGACTGTGTCGAAGGGGGAGTTTGACTGGGGGGTGCTTGTCAGCGGCCGTCGTTAAAAGCCATCGGGTGACGGCATGGAAGGGGAATAGAAGCAAAGAAAAAAGGGCAGGGAAATTGCACCAAGCTGCACTGCAGTACGTTACAGCCAGCCACACGCCTCGGGGCCAAGGGGTAAAAGCTGAGAAACAAACTGGCAATCGTGGGGAGACAAGGGAACCCTTGGATCGATCCCAAGGTAGCTGCAGATAGAGACTTCCATCTGCAATGAAACCCAGCTGTCTTCCCCATTTTGATGCATATAGCATATTAGCAGTACCAAGCACTGCAGCTAGAGGCTGGCTGGACGCTGACTTCAGCTCCGACTTTTTACGCCCTCGATACAAAAGAAAAACATGCGACTCAAATATTTTGTTTTTTTCCTAAACACGGCGTCCGTCTATGTCTTGAGGCACAGGCCGGGGGGGCTGGTCGGGGACGGAGCCAGATTCAGATGATTTTCATGCGAGGGTACAAAAATAAGACAATTGAAGCATACCACGGCAAATAAGACACTTCTAGGTAATGTGTACCGATCCGGGGTAGAGAATGGAATGACAGCGTTCGATAATTGAAACACAAAGGGAATGCTGAGAGATGAAGCTGACGCAGTCGGAGTGAAAGTGGTCCAATTGCTGAAGAGAACGATTGTTGTAAAGATGGATTGGATTGGATATAATGAACCGACTCAACGGTTCCGTAGGAGGCGATCCGCAGAAGTAGCGGATTAATAATCGACCAGCGAGAGGCGAAGTAAGGGAGCAAACAAGCAAACAAACGAGAATAAAGTAACAAAAGAAAGAAGAAATGGTCCGAACTCACAACAAGAAAGTGAAGAGAGTCGTTGATGGATCCATGACAGGCGACGGACGACGGGCTCTTACTACAGTTAATATGTAGGCACCCGTTACACAGGTCGCCGTAGGGATAAATGATGAGATTGGTACTAATCTGGGAAACCAGCCAAGATCCACGACAGCGCCTATAGGCTTTGATGCCGGGGATTCGGACAGGTCGAGATTAAGCAATAATAGGAGGCTGATGAAACACCATGAGGCGTTCGTCGCATGTTCAGACAGGCGCGAAGTGGTGTTAGAGACTCTATACTGGCTGTCAACGATTGGATGTGAGTCTCTCAAATTAGAGCGAATTTAGTTGTAGGTGGTTGACAGCCAATGACCTGACGAGAAGCCCTGAAAGGTGATGGGCAGTAAGCGCCGTACTGGAGTCTTGGAACAACCCTCGAGGAATGTTGACGTGTACCAAGAACTGGGTAAGTAAGGTACGGAATGCGGCACAGGACGGGCGCTTAAGCGCAGGGCGTCAAAGGCAGCGCAAAATGCTAAAGCGAGGCAAGACGAGGATACTCGGCTATGAGACGAAGCAATGCAACAGTCGGGTACAGCGAAGTACCGTACAGCAAAGGCAGGGCAAGGCCGTAGACGAAGAGCCGAGGGCGGCTAGTGAAGCTCTTGCTTGCTTGTTTGCATGCGACGCTTGAGCAAAAGTCGTGACCTAGGAGTGGTCGATGCTGTAAAGCAAAAGTGCGCGCGGACAGTTTGGATAGTACAGTCCCACTAACAAGACAATACAATACGGATGGACGCAAGTCGTGGATAGAACGGACTCTCGCTAGTTTGCTTTGGGGTGGTCTCAGTCGCAGTCGCAGTCTTAGACGAGGAATGAATGGGGAAAAGTAAAGAAGGGAGCCCAAAGATGCAGAATGTTAGATCGAAGAAGAAAAGAGGGTGAGACTTTTCGGATGGGGAGGAGGAGGAATATTGGATTCGAGATTGCGGAAAGAGCGGGAGAGGACCCAATTCTGACCAAGATGGGGAAATAGTGCTCCTTCCTTTCTTCACATTAATTACCTTAGCTACCTTAGTACCTAGTCAAAAAGCCAAAGGCCTCGCCAATCTAAGGCCAGCTTGGAATAAGAAATGCCACTGTCATTGGAGAAGACAGGTAATATTTCAGCCGTGGCTGTCAAGTGACAGGTCTGGTTCAGCCCAGCTCAGCCAGGTTTGAATATCGGCCTTTCCAGTTGCGATATCGTTCCGGTTCGCCAGTGAGACCAACCAAACCATGCACGAGGGCGTCAAGGGGTCCGCTCTATGCATCTGGGGGCAGTATTGGCCTATTGGTCCGTTTGAGCATGCGCTATGGAGTATTGCCTTGCTCCTTGAAGTTTCCCGTCTGTTGATCATCGCCAATGAATAGCACAGGCCGCATGCGTCTTGTAAGGATCGGCATCTTCATGTCTCGGTTTGATGGTTGTTGATCAACAACTTGCAGATATCTTAGACACAGTTAGACAAAGAAAAGGGCAGAGACATTCTGCACATTGTACCACAACCAACAAAGACATAAAGAGACAAAGAATTCAGGGGAACAAGGGCGATCGTCTGCAAGAGCATGGCATCGCCATAGACAAGGAACCCAAGTCTCTGGAACATTGGTCAGCCGTGATTGGTCCACTAGCCTTTCTCTGATCGAACCGAACCTGATCCCCTTAACTCGAATAGGCTCTAGTTCTCAGCCTGAGACCTGGTGGGTCATCTTGTGGCAGGGGTCTTTGTGGAGCTCAGCCAGGGTTCTGGGAACTCCTTAGCACAAAAGAAGGGCGTCATAAAAGATGGGCCATTTTGTGTCTGACAAAGCTGATGGCTTTGCACGATTTATTCCTGACCATGAGCTTCGCTAATTTTCCTGTCTTGGCAAATCAAAAGGGGAGGGACGGGTGCTGTCAGGATTGGCCAGACACATCTGCACTACAGCTCGGCAAGTTGCCAATAGTCTCCTGCAAGAGATCAGCTGGAATAAACAAACTCAGTCTCTTCGTTGCGACATGATGAAGAAATCAAGTCAGGATGGATCATTCTTCAGACAGAATCAAGAAAATGCAGGCTCCAAAACCAATGCTACTCAGCTGTGACCAAGGGGGCGGACAGAGAGGGTGAGCTCCATTCCCGGCCCCCGGGCACTAATACCTCGAGTGGAAATTCAGGGTCCCCTTAGCTACGGCCAGTGAAAACCTGCGCTCTGAAACTCGCCTGAGCTGTCTTGAGAAGCGAGCGTTTAGTGCTCAAAGCTCAAGGGAGAGACAAAAAGTCGGCGGGTTCTTGACGAAAAACAGGCCAGAACCGGAGAGAATGGGCCGCATGCATCAATTGTCCTAGGGAAAGACGAGACAACAAGACGAGACAACGCTGGTTGCGGCTTGCATTGCAGTAGGAATGGCATCAACCACATGATATCTAGGTACCTATTGGTATCTGGATCAACCACGTCAGTCATCACCGTTGACAACAGCCACAAAATATCGTCAACGTTGAAAACGCCTTCTACGTGCATATGCACAATTAATTACACAACTGACTGACCGAATGCATGCTATCAACCCTATTTGCTTTTTTCTGTCTTATCTTTTGTCTTGTCTCGGATGCGTCAAGCCTACATCCGCCCTGCATCATCGTCCCCCCAACCGTATTCATTGTTTTCTTTTTAATCGTTAAATCACGTCACCAAGTTCTCATGTCTGGATCTTTCCAGGGAAGTACCATCGCCAAGTCATGCCCTTTCTTGCTTCTCATCCCGATCTCTACGGATATCTCAGCCCCAATTTCGAGAGACCCGGTTTCTGGTGGGGGAATGTCTCCCTTCCCACCTCATCAAGCTTCTCCCTGGCCGTGGATGTGGATACGTCAATAAGCCGAGAAAGAAAACATTTAACCAAGAAAATTGACAGTTCATCGTGACAGAACGCCAAGACGGAAATCAACAAAGGATCTTCCCTGATTGTGGCTTCGGATGTTGTGAAATTCTCTCTTCCCCCCAAAACATATGGGTGGCTACCTGTACAACCACGTACAGAATTTAAGGCCGAGACAATCGTTGAATGTCTCTCCCGGGTTCGCAGGAACTCCTCCCGTCATGTCAATGTGAAGCGTGTCACAACAAGACAGACATGCTCAATATCTAATGAACTACCCAAGCGAATATCGTCATCTCCGATTCCAGCTTCATCAGCCGAACCTATCGGTCCGGAACTTGACTTTAGTCCTGGATTCCAAACAAACCAAAAACGGCGCTTGGTGATCTTCAATGTTTCTAGATTGTCCCCAGCCGCTGTTAGCACTTCAAATCTACTTTCGAGGCTGGTGATTTTGTCATTTCCCCCGCGTAGAGAGCCTCCATCTGATCAAAGCGTTTGTTTCGTTGTTTCGTCGTTAATTGGAAAACACCGCCGTTTGTTACAAGCTATTCCCCTGGCCTATACTAAATTTCCATCGAAGTCATAGGACTTATTAAGACTGTTTATCGTAGAGCTGAAGTGTGGGGTTTATTTCTGTCGGGGGAAATGATGCTCGTGATGAATTCTCATCACCCTCCCAGTTCGCTGGCTCAATGTGTATTCTTACACGTCACATACACTCAACTAATCTCAACATATCACATATCACTTAACAGTGAGTAACGATATGCCGTTCTCACCGTAACATGTAAAAGCTGGGTCTGCGATGCATGACACGCATATAGTTTATCTCTTCATAATATCGGAGACGTCTTTCCTCATGAACGGGGTTGTTTCTATAGGGTAGGCCGGCTGACATCCATGGATCTAATGCATCACTCAGCAATTGTCAAAAATCGAGACTGCTCAGCTCCATCTCCATGATTACTGGCGCTAATATATGTGATATAGGAAGGGTCCTCCTGCAGCCATAAGTCGAGATCCTGACTGTGGCCTTGCCTCAGTAGTACCTCTCAAATGCTAGATGTTAAAGTACCGTGGCCAATTACGTGCCCAATGACCTTGAATTAATGAATAATTGACCCATCTGCCACCATAACAATGACTGCAAGAATCGATACCTGACGCCCAAAATATCTAGATGGTTTCATTGATGTCATTCTTGTATTGCGTATAGGCTATAGGCCTCGCCACAGGGAGCTCTCAACCCCATCTCAAACCACATATATAGACTCAGAGTAACTCTACCAGTGGATAGGTATCACGTTGGCATCCAATAGTTATCGACATGGTTTACTGAAAGAACTGTTAATATTCCGTTCCTGGGGGCTATCCTGAGAACCAATCCGAAATGCAGCGTCGTACATCTGCGCAGTTATTCATCTTCTCACTGGGTTTCTTCCTCCTTCTGGCCATACCCGTTTCCGATACACAGGAAAAGGGATCCAAGGCCTATCATATCACATACTAATTGTGCGCCGTTAACCAATCCAACTCTGTATCTCATTCTTGACAATAATGGTACAAATCCAGATGAAAAGAAAATAGGCTGGAAGACCCTCGTCTACCCAACACCGCCGTTCTCGGAAGGCCAGCCATGGCACTGCGCTACTAGACCTTTGGATTGCGGCGACGGCGCTGGTGGCAGGGTAAGAATGGGAGTTTGTAAGAATAACGAAAGAAGGAAGAACGTATTAGGCCCAAGGAGTTGGTCCATCAGGCGCCTCATTAAAGCCATGAATTAAAGGTTGATAAAAATTACGGCAAGCTTCGAGCCGCGATGATAAGTGTCGATGTTGAAATTGCCGTCATGCCCAAACCGATCCAAAACCATAACAAAAAGCGCCCCCCCTGATAAGATTAAATAACCAGATCGCAATCCAGCGATTCCCAAATAATCGAATACCGATGCTTGGTTTTCTTGTTTTGTTGGGACTGTACAATCATGTGCTCCTTATGCTGAAATCCAAAAGTTCATATGCCAATGTCTCAAAATCAAAATCTACTGAGTCTTTTCCGCGACCTTGGCCTTCCTTTGGCTAGGCTTGTTGGTCTTGGAGCCCCTGTACTTGGTATCGAGAAGAGTGTCCCAGAAAGTGAAGAAGGGCTGAGCAAAATTGGTCTTGATGCCCCAGTGTTGGTGGTGGATATCGTGATATTCAGCGTTGTTGCTGGTGACGATCTGGAGAGGGTCCCAGGGGAACGCGTAGCCGCAGTGGTCGTCGACTGTCTTGATTGTGGACATTGAGAAGAAAAGGATGCCCTGGCGCAGAGTCATGCGGGTGACCTTGAATGCGACGGCGGCACCGAGGGTGTCGAGCAGGAATCCCTCAACAGGGTGGTTGTAGAGGGCACCATAAGCATAAGGGACGTAAAGACGGTGGTGGCGAGAGTGGAAGTGAACTGTTGAACAGAGTTAGCGATCGCGACATTGAAATGAAGCAGCTTTGTTGTGTGGATGGAGCTTACCATACAACCACTTGTTGACATGCATCAATCGGTGGAGGAAGTATTGCCAAGTGTCGATGATAGCAGCACCGATAAAGTACTGAACAGCAGGGATCAGGAAGTAGTAGATGGTCTTGGCCAATGTCATCTCCCAAGAGGCGAAAGCAGGTTCATTGTTCGCGCCCACCAGCGATGGGTAGTAGCCGCCAGCAACAGCCCCGGCCAGCAGGGGATGAGTGTCAAGGAGACTCTTGGAGATCGCTGTAGCATTGAGGCCGACGAGGCCGAGCACAGTTGGCAGAGCTCGTTGCGCGATACGGATGCGAGTGGCCCAGACTGCAACGTCGAATTCACTCTTTCCAATCATCTCCGGAGGCTCGGACAAGGCGAGAAGAGCGCCGGTGACGACCTGGATGATCTGCTGCAGGATAACATCGCGGGCGACCTCAAAGCGGGAGACGTGGTTGCGTTTGGTGATTTCTTCGGGCGTGTGTAGTCGATATTGGGGGAACCAGTCGTTGACGTCGATTGCATGGAATGTCAGGGACAGGACCCAGTACACAACAACGGGGAGTAACAAATTGAGCCAAAAGTCGGAGACCCAAGGAAAGAGATCAGGCTGGACCTCTAGACTAAATGTTGGCAGCGGTGGTAAAGCTGTTTCGAAGAGCGTATGGTTGAATGAGGTGCCGGGCACGGCCATGGCGGAGCCGTCGGCGAGGATGGAGCTGTCGTTGCCCATGACGGGTTCAGAAATTAAGTTGGCTAAGGTATCGATACTGCGGTCGCGTTACAACGTTCTAGTTGGTGATGATGATTGAAGGAGTGAAAGGAGACAATCAATTCAGTTCCGTACGGGAGGCGAAACTGTAGGCGACAAAACGAAACAAACAATTAATAGAGTCTCGATCAACAAATGAAGGTAGGAAGAGTTGGAGGCTAGACCTGGAGGATACAAGAGATTTAGGAAAAGGGAGCGTCGATGTCGATTGCGATGGCAATGGCAAGTTAATAAAACCCGACTCCAAGGCAAATGGAGGGCAAGGCAAGGCAAGGTACATACAGTACCCAAGGTAAGGTACCTAAGCTAACTTGATTTGGGGCCAGAAGATTAGATTAAGGCTCGTGTCGTCCAATCGCTCGCGCCGCTGGGTCACTTAAAGTGGCAACCCACCTCAGGTACAAGCGAAAAAACACTGATGATACAGTATCTGCAGACACGGAGGCAGCCCTGCGCCCTGCTTTGGCCCGGGAGCTTCGGAGTGCAAAGTAGAATCAATCAGCGGACTCTAGGACTGTACTGTGCAGCTGGGAAGAGGTCCAATTATTCCAAACCCACGCCAAGAGACTAATCAATCTCCTTTTTGTAGACGATACTTTACGAATGCGGCATTCTCATGCGTTATTTCATGTACAAGCGTCTTTCCAGTTCTCACAATCGTCATCTCCTGAAGACCAATTCCATGAGGTCGCATCATGCCCATGGCCGTGCCCGGGAGTGGCGGATCAGCCCACGCGTTAGACAGTCAGTGACTCTGTCAAATCACATGTGTTAATCTAACATCACACTCATCAGCTCTGTGATATCTGTGTTATTAAAGGGGCTTCACATTCTGTCATTGCTCAATGGACTCAGAAAACGTACGAATATCTTACGCCTGCCCTCCCTGTCAATTCATGTTGGCCTTCCATCGCCTGTTCATACCTCTAGACACAGGGCAAGCCTTGCGAAGCCTCTCGTGGCTCATACCACTGAAACGTCACCAACAGGTCATATGTCTGCTTTCAAGGCAGAGTAGCTTCTTACAGCTCGTCTGCATGTTGAAATTAACTGAACCGAGAGGCAGATGGATCATGCCAGCCCAGCCAGCCCACCCGTTCTTTCGTAGATTCCCTTTCCCTGGCCTCGGGGAGCAAGAAAACACAAGACCTTCATATAGGATGCCAAAATAAACCCAGTAAAAGATATCCTAAACTTAGTGTAGATATCTTAAGTTTATGTAAAGTTACTTAAGTCTTTTTGTCATTCAGGATCATGGTCTCGAGTTTTCTTTCCTCCCCTAGCCTGGGCATCGCATCGCATGAAGCCGTTCATTCCAAATCCGCGTATAAATCTGGGGCAAACACGGAACCCCTGGTTGATCTTGTCAGGCCTTGAAGATCATAGGTCCTCTCGGACTCTGGGTGCAAAGCCTGATTTCGGCTGCTTGGGACTTGGGAAAAATACTCCTTATGGGACATGCAATGCTGGTAATCGGCAGTACATACATGTATTTTCCATGACGCGTGAGATGCAGCTCAGCATTGCCGTCCGCGGTGTAATTCTATTGGGCTAGAGCTGGCCTATTATATTACAGTGTCGTCCGCGGATCAGTCAAAGTTCGCTTCCACCACTCGTCAGCGCATAGCCAATTTGGTGGTCAGCTCAGGTGTAGTTTTCGCTACCGTTACCGTACCTAGCCAGGGGATCAAAACACCTACAATCCTTCCTTGCTTACAACTACACCGAAAAGTTTTTTGTTTCTCTTAGCTTGATAGCCTCTCGCTAAGAAGCCCACAATGCTAAGATCTATGCTCTAATTTAGCATTTCCCACTTGTCAGTTTAACTCTTCATCCAAAACGTGATACGAGCAGAGAGACCGATTTGGTGTTTTCGAGGCCCACTCCATGAATTTAATTGGTTCACAGGAACCGGCCACGGAAAAAATTTACGGCGTTGTTCAGTGAGCTTTTTCAGTTTGCGTGCCGCTAATGTACTCGAGCCCCCACTACCCCGCCACTGGCTCTAGATTTTTATTATCATCAGGCTCTGTTTCTCCCTTTGGCTTTTGCTCCTCTTTGCCAGTCTCATCAGCTTCATTTTCTACTCTTCTCCATCCCATCTCACCCTCAAAGGTCCAATCGACTCCAACCGCCAAAATGCTTATCTACAAGGTACGACCACGAACAAATCCGTCTCATCACCTTGAGTAGTACCCCGCCTACTCTTACCCCGCGCTCGATTCTTGTCTTGTTTTGTCTTATTCGCATGATCTGTCGCTGAACCCCGCAACAATAGGATATCCTCACCGGTGACGAGCTCATCTCCGACTCCTACGATCTCAAGGAGGTCGATGGCATCGTCTACGAGGCCGACTGTGCCATGATCGAGGAGGGCGGCGTTAACGTCGGTACGTGACGACCAGCACCAAAGCCCCAGGGCTGGTGCAAAACAAGGTTCAATTTTGCCCTAACAACATAATCCACAGACATCGGTGCCAACGCTTCCGCCGAGGAGGCCGCTGAGGATCTCGAGGACCAGGTCGTCAAGGTCAACAACATCGTCAGCTCTTTCCGTCTCCAGGAGACCTCTTTCGACAAGAAGAGCTACCTCACCTACCTCAAGGGTACATAGAAGCCATCCCATCGAAATCCACGATATCAAAAGTTAACAATTCCAGGTTACATGAAGGCTGTCAAGGCTGCTCTCCAGGAGAAGGGTGCTCCCGCCGAGGAGATCACTGCCTTCGAGAAGGGTGCCCAGAACTATGTCAAGAACGTCGTCCTTGCCAAGTTCAAGGACTTCGAGTTCCTTACTGGCGAGTCCATGAACCCCGACGGAATGTAAGTTTGCCCCTTGTCACCGAGTCTGTGGTCTCTAGGAGACTAATTATCTACAGGGTTGTCCTCCTCAACTACCGTGATGATGGTGTCACCCCCTACATCACCGTCTGGAAGCACGGTCTTACCGAGATGAAGGTCTAAAGCGGAGGTAGTGACGTGGTGATGTTTTTGGTCTGCCTTGTTTGTGACGACAGACGGACGAGCAGTTATTTAGATTACGAGCCACACGAATCTCGTTCTCGGCGCTTGGTATATCCCCGAGATATTGCGATGAGATGAACAAAAAAGAAAGAAGTCATGAGTTCCAACCAATTTGTATTTTTGACCCTTTTGTGTGCAGTGATGAAGGCGATTCTCGATGCAAAGAAAGCAAGAAACATCAAAAGCTGCCCTAGATGCGCGCCTGGCAATGCTGTGTGTATAACACGGATTCTTGTAACTTAGAATTGTGGCCTGGTTGCCATAGGAATGGGAGGTGGTTCATCGTTGGCGGGAGCAGCCGAAGCACCCATAAGAGCCGGCTTCTTCTTTGGTGGAGGTGGAGGAGGCTTCTTCTTTCCAATAACGCTGGCCAATCCGGGCGATGCTGGTGCAGAGGGAGTCTCTTCATTTTGACTTTGTGTTTGGTTGCCTTGGAACCTAGAATATGAATTCTGCGCCTTGTTGAGAAGTCCATACTTTTGATTCAGGTTGTTTGCTGTTTTGGCTCCAGCAGCAACTTGTTCGCCATGACGTTGGCGGAAGTTGTTGGCTGTACTGGCAGCAGCTCGAGCATCGGAGAGAGAGACCGAAGAAGGATCCTTTTGGAATGATGAGGCGGTCTTGAGAGCCGCTTGCTTTTGAGCCCACGTGGTGCCCTCGCTAGGCGGTGGAGGTGGTGCCGTACTAGCGCTAGATGATGTTCCAAGCTTCGAGAATCGGTTCTGCAGTTCACTCATGTGTGATGCAGCAGGTGCTGGAGGTGGTGACGCGACACCAGGTCGTGGAGGTTGAGGTGGGCTAGGCGATGCTTCGGCTGCCGGACTGGAACGGCCAATACCAAAGCCAGGAACTGATATCCCCGCTGCACCTAGGCGATTGACTGCTCCTTGGTTCAATAGACCGTTGCCCGTGGGCGCAGGACTAGCAGCGGGAGAGCTTGCAATGGTGCTCCCAGAATTTGTCCTAGGGGGTAGTCGTGGTGGTAAGCTCGGAGGTGCAGCTCTTCCTCCGCCTCCTACACCCGCCATTGCAGATTGATATGAAGGCGGTTGCCCCGAACGTCCGTCAGCGCCATCTCTGCGGCCCGGAGGCTTCGGTAGGTTATCTGTTGAAAGACCTGTAGTATTTGTGCGATAAGGACCACGATGTTGGGATTGTTCCTCATATTCCTCCTCGGGCTCGGCATACACGGGTTCTTGAGGGGCCGGTGCTCTCGGATCCTGGTATTTCGAAGGAGCGGTGATAACCTTTCTGGGCCCCGACTCTGCCTTTGGAGGTGGTGGAAGAAGACCGGAACCGGTGCGTTTGGGAGGTGGTGCAAAGCTTGAAGGATCCTTTAGTTGAGACAGCGGAACAGAAACGTGACTACCTCGGTCCTCGTCCTCAGACTTTCCTCTCCCAACGAGTCCTTTCTGCGAAGATGTCAGCCATTGATTTCAGAAGCAGGCAAGAAAGAGAGCGGAGAGGCTGCTTACAACTTGACCTTTCAAGCTGCTGCCGGGCTTTTCAGGATGCCACCCATTTTTCATAATATCCTTGTATTTAGACATGGCGAAGACTTATAGGTATCGGATTGCTATAGGAATGAAAGGAGTGAGGTGAGGTTGGGATAGACGAGCCGCTGAAGGTTTACCCGCAGTTCCATTTGGGCTGGGCCTGAGTCCACTGAGCACGGGAGAGTGACGTACAGTTCTGCCGAGCCACTGAAGATCCGTCACTCAGTCAAGCCACAATGTTCGCGGGGTTGTTTTTCTTGACAGCTGAGATTCAGTGCTGACGCCTTGCGATTTAGGTGTCAATTATTTAGACTTGACTTCTCATGATGGGATAGAGAGTCCATGAGTTCACAGCACATCATATCAATTGATATGTGGAAATATTACACAAGATTACTGGTTCAATTCATGTGCCCTGCTTAAGGAGGACGAGATAGCATTTTAGCAGGCAATTAATTACTGGCGCAGGAATTGAGCATTTCTTAAGACGCGTCTCTTCCATTTACGCGTCTAATCATTTATTGAACTAAAGCACTTCAACGCTACAAACTTTGTACACATAGCGACAAATCAAAATGGCAGCGCAACAAAACTCAGACTATGAACTCTTAACAGAGCATTTTGGGTACCCTCCAGCTGTAAGTTGGCACTGGTAATACACAATATCACCCAACCAGCACTAACGCCTCCCAGTCCCTCCTCGACGACATCATCAACACTGTCAATGTCCTCGCCGACCGTGCCCTCGACTCAGTCGAACGTCTTCTTCTCTCCATTCCACCACAATCATTAGGCTTCTCCAGTAAACATGCCTCGAAAGATGGAACGCCGGCTCTACCGCCTGACGAGGCAGCCAAGCTAGAGATTGAACACGGCACACACCAGCTCGAGACTCTTCTCAACGCGTCCATCGACAAGAACTTCGATTTGTTCGAGCTATACACGATGCGCAATATCCTAACCGTGCGACCGGATGATCAACCGTTTATGCGGCTGGCACACTACGAGGGCCTGGATTTCTCTGGGTCAGAAGGTCCGGATCGGCCAACGACAGAGTCTGTGACTGCGTTACGGAGGAGATTACATGCTAGCCAGCGACTGCACACAGCACTCGAATCCGAGAGGGCCCGGAATGATGCGCTGCTTGGCAAATTGAGGTCTGTGCTGGGTGTTGTGCCTGGCAATGTAAAAGCAGAGGAGGGACAGGCTCAGGCGCCAGATGGTTCAGCCTTTGGATTCTTGCGCGACAAGGCAAGTCTTCAGGCCGCTGGGGCCGACAAGCCCATCGCGACGACAACAGAATTCACCCTCTCACAATTACAAGCCCTCCGCGCTCTATCGACATCACTACGCACGCTGCTTCCAGACCTTGGTCCCACGGACGCAGACACCTCAATGGAGGATGCCTCGAGTAGCTCACGTACTTGGAGACGTGAGCGTGTGGAATACGTCGAGGGTGCCTCGCGGAAATACCTCGAGACAGCTAGAGGTCTGGAGCTGGGAGATCAGGGCGACGTACGTGATGGGGAGTGGCAGGGAGAAGGACGCAAAATCACGAGGAGCGATGTTGAGGGGCTGGAACAAGTGGCTGCTATACTTGGGCAGAAATCAACGACGACAGACGAAGCTTCGGGTGAAGGAGAACCGATGGATCAGTCATAGGTTGAGAACTGCATCTTTGATATGTCAAGTTGAGTTGGTGATATTGAAAGGCGTTGGGCAAACGAAGAAAACAGTCCATATCATAGTCTTGGCGATGAAAACTTTTGTCATTCAATATACAAAACAGATGCTTCAAGGCATAGTCAGCACAACATCTATCCCAGCGAGGTATATAGCCTCTAGTGCATGTCTAACACTTGACTGCTAAGTGGTACAATTCTCTCATCCCATCACTCCTCCTTGTGTTCTCTATGAACGCGCATACTGCCTCAACTTCTGGCTGTCTATCAAACCATTATTCTGAGCCAGATACCAGAAATGATGTCTCCAATATCTCTCATTCGCACTCTTGCTCTCCCTGTCATGAAGCTTATACTTGAGAACAACATCCACGACTCTCTTGGCCGACTCCGTCTCTCCGTTCTCAAGAAGCGCTTGCATCAGTTCCTTGAGACACGAGAGCGACGTGACAGGGCGACCGGAATCGGCGAGGTCGTCAAATATTGACATGGCTTCTCGAACATCACCACCAATGGCGTGGGCGGTCATGACTCGCTCCCACAGAGTCTGGTCGCCGCTGGACACCTTTGTGAGATTGTTGTCCTTGAGCAGAGTGCGGATCTTTTTGATATCAGGAGGATCATGACGAAGGGCGCGCTCAACCAGAATAGTGATCATGTGAGGTGTCAAAACAGAACCGAAGCCGTTGCTGCGCATGTGTTGCTGCAAGGCTGAAATAACATCGTCGGAGCAGTTGGGAAGACCATCAAGAGCGTAGAGCATCTTGCCATATGTCTCGAGATTAGGCTTGAGTCCAGCTTGTTCAATATGGCTGAAGACTTCTTTGATAGCGACAACTTGCTCCTCAGCACTAGCATCTTCCATGCGCCCAATAACAGACTCGAGTAGAATGGTAAAGGTAGCAGAGTCAGGCTCGATGCCCTCCTTCTGCATGGACTGTAAGAGCTCGCCGACGTTCTTGTGATAGCCCATGCGAATCGTCTCACGGATGAGGATGTTGTAGGTGCGAGTATTTGGAGCGAGACCCTGTCTTCCAGCCCACGCCAACAAATCGTGCGCGGCCTTGGGGTCTGCATTTAACAGACTCTTGAAGGCAGCGTTAACGGCTTCGATAGTAGGCTCAACAGCTTGAGATTGTGTTCCTTGCTTGACTGCAAGTTGCCAGTTTTCTACCAACTCTGCGAGTGCCTGTAGACCCATCTGATGCTGACCAAGCTCGATAAGCGCCGACACACGCTCGGTCCAAATGACAGCGTCGAGCTTCATGCCAGACTTGACGAGTTGACTCCATAATGCCTCGATCTTGCCAATATCCTTGCACATCTTCCATCCGTGCATCATGCTTGTGTAAGTTCTGACTGTTGGCTCAACGTCAAGCGAGCGCATTAGGTCTAGAGTCTCCTGAACTCTTGGATAACGGCGGATCGCACACCACACAAAGATCCAAAAATCGAGGAATTCACGATCGTGAGCTAGCTGGGGTTTGATGCCCGGGTTGTCGCGCAAGGCCCCTAACATGGCGTCCCAGACGGATCCGATGGCACTTTTGTTGCGTGCCCTATAAGCTGCCCGCAATTGCTTGTGAAAGTTGTTGAGATTATTTCTTGCCCCCAGATATGGACCCTGAGAAGATGCTTTCACCCAGGCGTGAGATTCACCCATGATCATATCCAATGCAAGAGTCCATTGTTGTGTGACATACTCCTTGAGTGTGGTCAGTGTCTCGGGAGAAATCTCTGAGGATTCTGACACGATAGTGTCGATATCAGCCTGTTTGATTTTGTGCTTGGATAGCACCGCTCGGACAAGTATTAGTAAGGGCGACAACTGCGTCTTGTATTCAGAGCCAGAATATCTGTTATCTGAAGTAATAGCGAGGGTAGCCAGTAGTGAGGGGATGACTTCAATGGCTTGGGGCGGCGGCAGCTGAAGAAACAAAGAGGCCAGCGCTCGAGATGCCTGTGTCCCTGCTTGTGCTGGGGCGCCACCCCTGCTATACTCTGCATCCTTCAACACCTCTGTGACGCTGGGCAGTGCGAAGCGTGTCTCCTTGTTGGCTTCACTGGGTCGCTTGAGCTGAGAAATATGCTGCCACATTTTGAGAATCTCCACCCTCATTGCGGTGCGGTCACCGGACGCATTCTTGGGTTGTAAGAACTTAGCGCACATGTTGAGAATGAGATCGTTTCGTAGGCGGAGGCTGTAGTCCCCAAATGCCCGGTACTTCTCAGCTATATCGTGGCTGTTCTTGTATAGACCATTTTGAAACATGTGATTACACTCAGTACCGAGTAGTTGGGTTACAGCTGTGTAGATATTCTTGGGGAGCTGGCCTTCAAGTCCAACGATACTCGGCCAGATCTCGTCGCGGAAGATGTCGTAGCGCTCATCTGGGTTGAATCCTCTAGACATGACTTCCTTGAGTCTTGCGCTGATTTCGAGCTCAGTGAGGACAGGCATAGGCTCACTGACAGCCTCTTCATGATCGGCGCGGCTCACGATCTCCTTGAAAAGTGCCAATGCCGGGTCCTGGTCTGGCCTCTGTTTGTGTTTGAATGCACTGAAACCTATTCTTGGTCCATTGTGTGACTGCTTTGGCTCTCTGCTGGTGTTGGCTGGCTGTGAAGCTGCCCTTGGCCTGGTTCTGGGTGTATCAGGAACATCAGCTGTGGTTGAATACGAAGCTACACTCCCAAGCCGCTTGCCTGAGGCCGGAACTGATCGCAACTGTGATGAGCATCTTGAACAGGCTGTCCGAGATGCGTACATGGCGTAAAGGCCCCAGGAGGGTTTTGGTGAATGAGTTGTAATATGTAACTCAGTTGAGGGTCACTTAGTAGGTACTGTTTTCATCAAGTTGATGGACCAGAGGTGAGGAGCCAATCAAATGCCTTTTTGCATCCCACCTCGGTAAATTTCGGTGTGGCATGTACCGGGTAAGTCGCTAGCTACCTCAGCAAGAGGTTACCTTATGCTTGAGAGGTGAGATATAGATAATGCTACTGTGTATATGTTACTTTTGGGATTGCCATATTTTGGTAGTTCAAAATCATATCTCAATTTCTACTTGGTATCTAATAAATCAATACCTCGTTTCTGTCTGGCTGCTCCAAGCTTATTGTCCTGGCCGAAGAGTAGCAGAAAACTCTCCATCAATCTCAACAATCTTCTCTACACTCTTCTTGTAGCCCTCTTCATTCTCAATCAAGTCAATATACTCGGCCACCTTTGGAAACTCTGACTTCCAAGAGCCATTCTCGAAGCTTCCAAATTCGTCAAGATCTTCTTTGGCAGCAATCAATGGGAAGCTCAAGAGAATATCCGCGGCAGTGAGTTGCGGTCCACAGATGTACTTGCCACCTGATGTAGAGAGATGACCTTCAATCATCTTGAGGTTAACATGCACATTGGGGAAGATGAAGGCCGAGAAGATGCGGTTGGCGAGGATTGTTGATATGGGGCGGATGAAGAAGGGAACTTGAGGGGACTTGAGGGCTGTATATATCGAGTTAGTGATCACAGGTTGAGGAGAGAGAGAGAGAATGTCAACATACCGCTGACAACGAGGGCCATGACCAGAGGAGGCATGAGAGTACCCTCACAATAGTGAAGATAGTACTGATATCTCATCCAAGCCTCAGTCTCGCCACCAATCTTGCCCTCCATACCATCTTTCCATCGCTGGGGCACCAGCTTCTTACCCCCAGGCACGTTCTCTGCAAGATACTGAGTAATGAAGCCACTCTCAGCCAGGGTGATGGGCTCAGCGTCTTCAGCGGCACCGGCAGGTTTGATCTGGATCACAGGCGACTTGCCCAGTGGGTGCACCTTTTGCAGCTCTGGGGGAGCCATCATGGTCTTCTTGTTGCGGTGGAAGATTTCAAGCTCATAGGGCAGATTGAGCTCCTGGAGCAGCCAGAGGATGCGCTGGGAGCGCGACTTCTCGAGCCTGAATTGGTTAGCATTTGAAGACACAGCACATTGGTGTATATATAAATGAGACATACCAGAAGAGTTTGACGTGGGGTAGTTCGTTTGAAGCCATGGTTAGATACTACAAACGGTGTGAAACGGTGTATCAAGGTGAATCAATTGACAACAATAGGAATCGAGTCTATGACATCTTCACAAAACATCCGGGAGCCTCAAATTTATATGGCCCATTAGTCTCGGCCAAGGTACCAAATATGGCCGCCCTAAATACGATATGCGACCGTGATGCATCACTTTTGGTTGGCTAGTCGATGTCGATCCATAAATTAAATAGAGGACCGGGAGCATCACATGTGCCGAGTCCTCGGGTCGATCTATTTCTTAGCAAGCATTGATTGATTGATTGTATGTATTTATCTTCTCTTCTCATTTGTCTTGCCATTGTCTTATACAAGGCAGAGCCCAGTTTCAGAGCCTCTAATCTAGTTACAGTATTTCTTTCTCTCTATGCCACTCACTCCCAAATGCTGCCGTTTGCCATGTGATGTGATGCCATTGGATGCGTTCCGTTCCTCTCCCTCCCCGAACCCCTTCCACAAAAGCAAATATAGGGAACCAAACGCCTTTTGCTCTAAGACTCCTCCAATCCAGGGCTTCGCGCCAAAATCAACACGCTGTGACCATCACCAAATCCGCTGTAAAAAATCCATCAAGATCCTCTTTCTAGATGCTTTCCTTCTTCCTTTGCTATGCAGCCAATTCGCACACCAGACACCGTTTTGATACGAGACGGATATTACTTCATAAGTAACACATAACTTTCTTCATCGTCGTCGAGACTTTGCTGCTGGGGCTGGCGCGTCATTAACGGCCTCCCGCTTTCGTGTCTGCTTTCGAGATCTGGGAGGTGGCGGGGGATCACTGTGTAAGTGTCCTAGTTCCTCCAGCGCCGTCGTGTTTTCCCACTGGAGGCTGCGGTAGTTGGGCGTCTCCGGCGACTTGTCCCGGATGCGAGTGCTCATTCGCTTGTGATTCTCCTCTTTCTTATCGCCATCTTCCTCCTTGGAGAGGTAGGCCTTGCGGCTCTCCATATGTTTGGCGATCTTGTCCTTGAAACTTAAGAGCTCCTTTCGAAGTTTGAGTTCGTTGAAACCACGAGGGTCCAGCCATTTGATGAGCTCATCTACATGCGCCGGCTCCGAGATGTAACCCCACTGGTGTGCATTGAAGACGCTGGTGTTGGCCTCTTCCATAGCCTTTCGCTCAGGAACAGTCATGTTGAACTTTTCCTTGTACTCTTCCTGGAGTTCAGCAGGCAGGTCGATGTATCCTTCTCGCTCAAGCTCGTCGGGTCCTTGAACCCAGATCAGGCCGTTGGCGTAATCGGCTGATGCGGTCGAGCTATCGGGAAGCCCACCATACGGCATGCCATTTCGTTCAAACCAATAGTACCTGTTCCAGAAGCGATCCTTTCCAAGTACTCGGGTTCGAGGGCAGTCAGCCTCGCGCAGATCGTTTTCGATGACGGCAATCTCCTCCTCACACTTTTTGACGACTTCCTCTTTCTTCTGAATATCTTTCAAAAGTTTGGTGAACTGCTTTGATTGGGCAGGCGGCTTGGGCGTCTTAGCAATCTTGGCAGCCTTCTCCTTCTTGCGAGCCTCTTCTTCCTCTTGCTTACGCTGCTTGGCCGTCTGAGGTCGTCGGCGCTTGCGAGCCGATGGGTCATCTTCCGTCTCTTCGCCGTCTCCTCCTCGCGAGATAATGGAATCTTCGGGATCAGCCACTTTCACGTCTCCATCCTCTTCCTTTGGTGGGGAAGGAGGCATGTTCTCTGGTAGGAGGATCTTTTTCTGCTCATTGAGTTGGCGTAGATCTTCAATGCTGCATAGATTGTTAGCATTCGCTGCCAAATGGGAAGTTTGGCTCTTGACTTACGCTTGCTTACGTTGCCGTTGCCATTCGATCCTCTCCTTGCGGTACGTGGTCATGGTTTCGCTGCAATCTTCCATGTAGCCTCGCATGGCCTTGGTCTCAGTGGTCAGCATGCAGATTATCTGCAAAGCCTTGACACGCTGGTTGACATCAAGTTGGGCGTATCGCTGCTTGACAGTTTCTTGAGTAGCGTCAACTCCAGCAGGCACAAGGAGGTGCAAGAGCTCCTCGCAGACCTCATGTCGACGTTCGTTCTTTGATAACTGATGGAGAAGGCCAACCATGATTCGCTCCCATCCCCCGTTGGTAAAGTCTCGCTTCCGAAGGTGCTCGATCCAGTCGTAATCCTTAAGAAGTTGCTCGGCGCGATGCTTAGTCTCCTCCTCGCTTTCCTTCTCGGCGGCCGCAGCCTCGGCAGCCAAACGTTCTGCCTCCGCCTTGGCAAGACTACTGCGGGTAGCTCGTCCAACTGGCCGAGCCTCGGGTTCAGGAGTTGGCAGAGCGCTGGCATCCTCATCGCTGTCTTCGTCGCTATCTTCTTCGTCCACTTCGGGTAAAGTGATGCGAACCTTGCCACCATCGGCTTCGGAGTCCACCAGAATCTTCAATACTGAGCAATGGATCTCGTCAAGCAATTGAATCGGAACATCCTCTGATGCAACGCAGAGGGTCTCAACATAATCATCAAATGTGAACGAGTCCAGCTTGAACACCTCGCAGTACACATTGAGGGTGTCCCAAGTCTCCAGCAATGGGCCAATCGATTCCATCTCAATCTTGTCGCAATGCTCACTCTGAGGCATGTCGTCGTTTTCAATCTTGACAGGCGGGTTTCTGCAGAGAAATTTAAGTGGCGGACGCTTGCGATCATCTCGGGGCTCAAGCTGCAAATCTTCGATGGGATATTTTGGGGGAGGTGGTGGAGGAGGCGGCGGCGTAGGTTCACGCTGGATTGGTGTCTGGATGCCATATTCCGAAGGAGAGCTGAATGGGTTGCTGCCATGAACCGGCATGTTAAGAGGCCACTTGAGACCTTTGGAACCAGAACCCGGCTGACTAGGCTTCGCCTTACTCTTGGGGGCCGGCTTGAGTTCCGGTAGACGTACTGGACCAGAATGAAGTGCAGAAGTCAGATCATGTCCGTTAGTATCATGATTGAGGTGGGCTCGCTTCTGGGCCTGGAGCTGTTTACGCTCCATAACCTTGGTGTCGTATCGAAGGTGAGGAGGGACACGAGTATCGATATGATACTGGCTCGCATAGTCATGCTTAACTAACCACGGTGCCCCATTCCATGCGTCGCGGGTGACAGTCTTCTTAATGAAAGATCTGAGCATCGCCTTGGTGAAGATACCCCGGTCGCGACAGATGTGCTCATCGGTTACAATCGTGTCCTGTTCTGTGTCCTTGAGATCCACCAGATAGCGGGTTGTAGGTAAAGAGTGAGTTCCATCAGGAAGAGCGCGGGGACCAAAAGTGGTCTTGTCGCGGACCAATCCGTGAGCGCGATCACCCCCCTTCATGGTCACCGTGACCTCTTCACCAGGGTAATAGTCATGCTTGAACTCGTCGTAGATTTGATCAACGAGATTATCCAGGCGAGAAACGGTCTGAAACTGCACCTTACGCAGTATAGGACCTTTCAACGCCTCAGGAAACGAAGCCTCGACTTCTTTGCCGCCAGCAAGCTAAGCCATTGTTAGCCGTTGAACGATGAATCAAAGTTTACAAAGCAAACCTCGCTCTTTAGAGCTTCAAAGAAAGTCAGGCCGGAATGGCCTGTAATCTGATCATTAAAGCGACGCTGCAGGATGGGTAAGCAAGGGATGTCGAGGTGGAAACCAGATATCATGGCTAACCTGTTTATAGAAATCCATTCTAAAAGTTGTGTAAGTAAGGTGTAATATTGAACTCGGGTGGTACCTGGCACTTACCGATCAAGATAGTCCTCATATGAGGTAAAGATCTCCCCTGTTTGAGGAATGTGCCAGACCTATTACTGTTCAGCCATTGCGCAAAACCTATAGCTATGTTAAGTTAGCCGTACCTCAGTATTCTCATCTTCAATTTCCTGTGCCGGCAAGAAGCGGACCGGTTTACGTTTGAAGAGGACCTGGTGATACTTGTTTAGCAAAGGCGAGGTGGCCGAGAAGCAAGCAAGAGAGGCGCGTACCATGGTCAAGTAATCGAGGCGCAAGCGGCCGAGTCGGATGTGCAATAGAAACCACCTGCAAGGCTAAGGTATAGCCTGCCCCCACTAACAAGATTGAAGGTTGAAAGCGATGCTATATTGCAGCATGAGCACGAGGGTGATTGTGGTGGAAGACGCGACGTTGAAGAACGGTGCTAAGACGAAATTTGGGGTCGCTTCGCTTTGCGTGGGCGGATCGAGGAGAGCGCGGGCGCGTAGGTGGGAAATAGAAATCGGGGGTGGGCTCCTCGAGAGACGGAGTCCGGAGTTGAACGACTTACACGCTCGCAGGCAGCGGAGGTCGAGGAAGGGTGAAGAAGCAAGGTATAAGACGCGAAAAAGATGATATATGAGATATCTCTTGCAATGCGCAGACGTTGTCGAGGCAGAGACAAGTTGCGGGCGTGACTAGAGCGAGGAGAATGATGTAGGAAGAAAAGAAGAATCCAAAGAAGGAAAAGAAGCGGGCTACAAGTACGCGACCTGGGCTGGCGGGAGGGAGTTTAACGGGCAGGTCAGGTCCCGGTAGTACGGTGGGTCACTGGGAGCTGAGAGATACCCGGGCCGCCACTAAGATATGCGCCCTGATTCAGCAACTTGTAAGTACAGGTACTTGGAGTCAATGCCGTCCCTGAGGTGCCCTCCACGGCTGGCACCTCATTAGGGTCCGATCCAATGCTTTGATGAAGAATGCGGCTGCAGATACCCGAGGATGAGACTAACACGGTACTGAAAGTGAGAGAAGTGATATATCAACAAGTGTATATATGATATATTACTACATACAATTTACTTGTGTACTGTCCATTATATTATGTCCATGCTCTGCTTTGTTGGAGTCAACATTCTAGGCGCGTCAAAATGTCTTGTCATGTCCCAGCTTTTTTTTTTTAGCTTAGCTCCTCATGGATCCGTTCCATCCTCTCCACCTCCAACCCCTGTCGGCCCGTGGCCCTCCTCCTCCTCGTCCAAGATCCATCATTCAACTTTGCCCGCCTATAAAACAAGCCTAACTTAACTTTTTGCCCACGTTCTTGGACTCTTTATAATCCTCACGTCACTCTGCACCCAGAAACCTTGGATTCAGAAACAGCCAATGCAGATTAGGGAAGCTGTATCTAATACAGCTCAATCTTGAAATTCTCCTGGAGATACTCCAGACCGTCATCTCGGGACGCCAAGTAAGCTTCTGATACCACAATCACTCACGATAATCACCAGCAAAGAGCAGTTCAGAGTCACAGAGCCTCTGTAGATGGCACTCTGTCAGTGTAGTAAGATTATATCTAGACTGCCTGGAATTAACAGAGCATCATGACATAGAACAAGAGCCTCTCCGGCCTCTCTGTAAATCGCGTCGTGTAAGTCATATTGGAATTATATACAACCCTAACACTTCATAAATGCCCCCAAACGAAGCCCGGCAGTTAGGTGTAATGCATTTGGACTACATGCAATATCTTTGCACTTTTAGGCACCGGCAAAAGAGCCCTTATGTCACGGCCAGAGCTGGAGCCACAACCTCCTCCAGGGACATAACCTAGCGTTGCGCTCTATGAAGCTCCACAATTGGCATCGCATGCTATTGTGCACTTGCCTGCCACTGCTTCCGCACGCGCGAGGATAAAAAGCACAATAGAATGACAAACTATCGTGAATAGACCCCAAGAAGCCAGCCAGCTTGATTGTGCCCCTGGATAGACTCAGGGTCTCTGAAGCACAGGCCTCGCAGTGACTATTCCTGTTGCCAAATTACCAACAGAATGCTACGTTTCACTCAGAGAACATCATGTCAGGGTCTTTCATTTTTAGAAAAGATATGAAATCTATTGGGTATCTATCATCAACACTTCAGGCTGTGAAATACACAACCATATAACCCAACCAGCTTCCAACCACGCCAATCGCAGTATACGAGCTCGTAAACATCAAAGGAAGGAATTCGTAGCTCTTGCCAAATATGATCTGATGTAGGAGTGAGCAGTATAAAATGAGGGGGATGCTCACGGCAATGTACAGTGTGCTGAACCGGTCTAGTAGGAAAATCCTGGGCTTGTTGGAAGCAGGGGCAAGACGATCAAACGCCATGAGGAAGACAACAAGCCAGGTGATAGTATAGAGTGTCTTGATAGGAAATTCTGCCGGCGTGAATAGCAGGGGGAAGAGTGATACATGACCGGCAACAGCCAGCGGCCGGAAGGCTCCGAGATGACGTCTGTCTCGGAGGGCAATAAGACTAAAGGGGATGATGACAAGAAGAATGGCCTTCTCATGGACATGCCAGCCAAAGAGAAAGGAGGCATAGCCGCACAGGGTGACAGCACCGATGAATGTCTCCCAGGTTGGTTGAGAGAATAGCTTGATCAATGGTAGGACCTGGAAGAACAGTGTGAGAACGAAACATGTCCTGGGGCTGATTTCAGGCAGAACGGCAAAAGCTGTATCTCCAACTAAGCCACGAGTGACACTCTGCAAGGCGTTCTTATCGACAGTCCAACCAACGCGTGGAGCAACTAGATAATGTTAGACCAATGGCTGAGGTAGCTGCTCTGAATCAAGGAAGAACTTACTGTGGATCAAGAGTCGATCTGCAAAAGAGTAAAGAGCCCAGACATTAGGCGCCCAGTAAGCGTGGCATAGGCCACGAGAGAAAGGGAATAATCGACTCAGAAGCTGGGGAATCTGATTCATGGCTGCAAATGGTCCAAAAGCAGCTCCAAAGATGGTTCCAATACCCAAACCCAGCTTGATCGAATTCAAGAAGCGAATTCGGAAGATGGATTTAGACGACAGGCAATATGCTCGCAGGAGATACACGAAATAAGCTGGCGCCAAGTACAAGTAAATGTGCTTGAAGCATAGGAGGGCAGCAAAGATGAGCCCGCTGGTCAGTAGCTCATTCTTGTCGCGAGCAAGAACAAGAGACATGACAAGAATTCCGTACATGAAGCCATTGTACTGGAAGTGAATATGGTCGATAATGAGAAGTCCAGGAGAAAGGATGATAGACAGAGCCGCGACCTGAGCGGCGCGACGGGACTTTAGAGGCGCATTGTCGATGAAGGTCTGAAGGGCCCAGACCAACACAAGCTCTGTAATGATGACAGAAGTTCGCTGGAAGTAGACCGTTTGCCAGCTCTCGTAATCGAGGTTGTAGACTTTGACCATGAGGGGATCAATCAGACGAGCGACGTGTGCGAGGATCCATTCAAAGTAGGCGAAGAAGGGAGGATAATCCAAGGTCCATTCCGACGTCTTTTCGAAGTACCATTTCTCTAGAGGAAGACTGTTGGTGATAGCGAGCCAATTGCGATGGACTTCGAAGTCGGTCGATTTGCTTTTTGGTGGTGGTGAGCGGCGGCACGCGACGGATATGATGGAACAAGACTCACTATGCGGGGAACAGGAGGATTTTGAAGGCGGCAGCCACAAGCGCAGTCTGCGCAAGTGTTGGGTAATGTTCGCTCATGATGCGCGGTCACTATTTGTGTTGTCGCGGAGCTGGGGATGGCCTCATGACCTTGCTGCTGTGGGATTAATTGAAGTAGATCTTGATACAAGTCATGACGAGAAGGAGATTGGCTCGTGTTCTTTTTTGGACATGAGGTGGTTTGTTCAAGCACACGTCCCCACTAAAACACCCTAGCATGAGTTGACAGCCAAGGGACCGGTACAACAGAGCTTCAACCATTCAGCCCATTTCACCGTGTGAGTTGACAGAATGTATTGGCTAATCTCTCAGAGGGCCAATTAACCTTAAACCAAGACTTTCAGACCGTTAAAGTAACCCAGGCAAATCTAAAGACGCACAATGGTCTCTAGGAGCCCTCATAGACAAGTCCAATCTGGGGTCCAGTCAGAGGTAGGTAGAGTTACTTACAGGGGTGTTGCTTTGACTTTATTCTGGCCACAGGCGTCAAAGCCTGAGTAACAGAGACAGCTCTCAAACTGCCAGTCTTTGCTTTACTTATTACTCAATTCAATTCTATTACACAATCTCAAAACACCTCGAAAGGGGTTCACCGTATCCTCTTTGAAGCTACCGACGGCCCGAGCTCTTTTCCCCAGCTTCCATCTCGTTTCCTAACTAGCAAATCCACCAATGATGCTCTTTACTGGGCATCATCAAGCCACGCCGCTCCAGTTAGGTTGCGCCACAAAACCCTTTTCAAAGGCTGAGTTGGATGATAGCATGTGGCTTCATTAAGCCAATGCCTGCTTCTTGTGAGACTTTTCCCTCTCCCTTGTTGGGTTTGAGTATCAATTGATAGATTCTTTGTTCTTTCATAATCTTAATTCTTAAATTACAGGACTCGTTATTGTATCTTACAGAAGCCCAGCGTGAATTCTTGATCGGTGATCACAGTGAACCCCCGCTCTAAACTCCAACCACCACCAAGTACGGTACGGTATACGCTTGTTCCAGGGGCTGCATAGTGCAAAGTGTCCTTAGACCTCAGCCTTGCCTCCACCAACTCGGCTCATTCCATTCAACTTCCCGAGCTCGTTTTTTCCGTGGCCCGAACTTGGGAAAAAGGAGTGAGGCCCGTCTTTGCTTGTCTTGTCCTGTCTGCGGTTGGAATATTGTTCTAACCTTGTTCTTATTTCGTCTTTTGGTCCCATTGGAAGCTCTCTATTCGCATCCATCTTTACGCTGCTATGAAGGTCTCTTTCTCTTTGGCTGCGCTGCTGGCAGCAAGCCTATCGCAGGCTCAGTATCTCATCAGTGAACTTAGTTTTGGTCATGCTGGAAGGTTTGTTCTACCTTTTTTGCACTTTTGTGGTACTGCACTGTCCGGGATCCCGATGATGCTAACTCGCACTGCGTCTACAGGATAAGCCCACCCGAAGCCCGTGGACAGATCCCCAACTTTGCTGTCCAAGGCAACCCCAACACGCCCGAGGTTCTCTCAAACCGAATTATCTTGACACCTCTTGCTCCTGGTAATCAACGAGGTGCCGTCTGGGGCCAGCAGCCTTTGCTCCGAAACCAATGGATCGCCGACGTCGACTTCCGAGCCAACGGCCCTGATCGTGGCCGTGGCAACCTCAACATCTGGCTTGTTCGCAACGGTCCTGCTACAATCGGCTCTGGGAGCATCTACACTGTTGGAAAGTTCGACGGTTTGGCTCTTGTTATTGACACTTCTGGCGGTTCCAGCGGCATGGTTCGAGGTTTCTTGAACGACGGAAACACCGATTACGCGAGGCAAAGCAATGTCGATGAGCTCTCATTCGGACACTGCCCTTACAACTATCGCAACCTTGGCCGACCTTCGCAAGTCAAGCTTCGACAGACCGCCAGGACATTCCGTGTTGAGTTGGATGGCAACCTGTGCTTCGAGTCAGACAAGTTCAGCATTCCCACAGGCTATCAGTTTGGTGTTACTGCTGCTACCCCTGATAACCCTGATTCTTTTGAGATCTTCAAGATGGTTGTCATGGCTGATAACAGTGACAGCGGTCCTGTTCGTGACCCTCCTAAGCAGAACCAAAATCAGGGCCAGAACCAGAACCAGAACCAACGTGTTCCACCCGTCAGGGACGCCTCCAACAGTAATAACAAGCGAAACGATGGCGAGTACGCAGATGAAGATCCCGATATCTTCCAGACTTCCAAGGCTCAGTTCATGGATCTGCACAATCGCCTCCAGAACACCAACCACCAGCTCGCCTCCCTGCAGCGCACCTCCTCACGCCACCAGCAGCAGGATGAGAAGCGCCACGAGGACTTGACTGCCCTGATCGGCCAGCTCCGTGCAGATATGCGTAAGCTCGACGATATCACTGCTCTGCACAGCCGTGTCATGGAGCTCGAGAAGGATATCCAGGGTCTCCGAAAGGAACTCAACCGCAAGCTGCAATCCACCGAGCGTACCTTCAAGGACACACTCTCTGACCACCACAACTCTTTGTCAGAAACCGTCATGGCCAAGACTCCTGGCCACCGCTTCCTTATCTTTGTTTTCCTTGGTACACAGGGTCTTCTCGTTGCGGCTTATGTGGTTTACAAGAAACGGCGTTCATCCATGCCCAAGAAGTATCTGTAGTTTCATGAAGGAGGACTAAAAAGAGGGGGGTATGGATTTAAGGGAGAACTTGTGTTTGGATAGTGAGTGTTGACCTCACGCCTTGTTCCTTGGTATTGCAGTGCTTTGTAAATTAGATGCATGAGCCGTGTGTACATGGGAGAGTTTTTATGTTAGCAAAAGAAATGAGTATGATGATTATAGAAAAAATCATAAATCAATATTGCAAATCTGAAAGACTATGTATCCGAGACTCATTCTCATTACTTGGACCAGATCCTCAATGTCATTAGACCACTCCTGGGCCACCCATAACCATCCACGCATTCAAACACTAAACATTCCAGACTCGCTTGCCTTGCACATCGACAGTTCCATAGCCAAATGCAAGCATTCATATCGTCATTAAATCTTCTCAAAGCTGCCGTTGATCACATCAAGCATCTCGTCACCCTTGGGGGCAGCAGAGGTCAAATTCTCATAGCCACCAGGTGTGACAAGGATGTCATCTTCGATGCGAACACCACCAACTGGGTAGTATGTTTCGAGGAGGTCTTTGTTAATGAACTTGGCGTGTGACGGGTTGTTCAGGAAGTATCCCTCAATAAAAGGGCGGCAGAAGTAACTTCGATAAATTAGCTCATGGACCTCGATTTCAGAGAAGGTATAGTACTCACATTCCTGGCTCAATTGTCACAATCATATTAGGTTGAAGAGATTGTCTTGGTTTTGTAGGCGGGGAAGATGAAGCCATACGATGCATGGCCACCAGAGCCGTGGCAGTCACCATCTCACGCTTACCACCCTCGACGTGGAAGTTATCTCTCATCAAGAGACGCTCATAGCCAGTGACATCGTGAACCTCAAGACCAACATGATGACCGAGACCGTGGGGGAAGAAAGCAGCGACGGTTCCCGCCTTTTGGATCTCCTCAAAGTTGCCTTTCAGAAGACCCAACTTGCGCAGGCCTTGGAGAGCTACATCACTAGCATGGAGCTGAAGTTCGTAGTAGACAGTGCCGGGTCGAACACGTGCTATACACTCTTCTTGCATACGCTGCACAATGGAGTAGATCGCGGAGGCCTCCTTAGAAAAGGAACCACTGACAGGAAGAGTACGGGTGATGTCGCTGGCGTAACACTGGTACTCACAACCAGCGTCGACAACGATCAGTTGCTTACCCTCGAGAGGCTGGTTGTTGGCTCCGTAATGTAGAATCGAAGCATTGACGCCAGCCCCAGCAATAATAGGATAGGCCTGGGCATGAGCACCACGTGAAGTACAAGCGGCAAGGAGAACTGCCTCGACATCTTGCTCATTGCGCATGGTGAGGAGACGTTCGGCCACGGCACGATGAGCAGCGGCAGAGATACGTGAAGCGCGACGGATGAGTGCAACTTCATATTCCGTCTTGATCACACGGGCCTCATCCATGGCAGGTCGCAGCTTGGAGCAGTTGATCTGGGTCTGTCCACGTGGTCGATCAGTCAACTTGGGGGCCTGATCGGAGTGAAGGACATAGAGGGTCTTCTCGGGACGAAGTTGGCCATGAAGGAATTTCGACAGCTGAGCAGTGTATCTAACATCATCGACGTCGTATTTGCGCATAGCCTCTGCTGCGTCGGGAGTTGGGCCGTGATACAAGACCTGTCGCGGCTCAGCGTAAGGGATCCAGAGCGTGAGACGATCCATGGCGATTTCGTAAGTGACGGCACAGTCGGGAAAGTCGACGCCAGTCATGTAATAGAAGCTGTCTTTTTATCAGCAGGGTTTCTTTCATGGGAACTGGGTAGCATACTATCTGCGTTGCTTGAAAGGAGGCGACTGGTCTGAGTCCTCATAGAGGCGTGTAGGCTCTCCAGGAAGATAGATGAGTCCATCAGTAACACCGAGCTCTTTGACGACCTTGCGCGCATGGAGTTTGGCTTCATGGTATGTCAGTACTCGTTTGAATATCGATAACGTGCGAGACAGAGCTTCTTTGAACATACCGGGATACTTGTTACCACTGCTGCTTTTACCGCCACAGTCATCGTCACTCTTCTTGACCTCAACACATCTACCATGAAGCTCGAGTCAGTGATCTGAGTATTACACCACATCAACAGGGGCATAAAAGTCCAAGCCCAACTCACAGCGCATCAAATTCATCCTCAAGCACAAACTCGTAGCTCATCGACCTTCTTTCACGTGCTTGAGGCCTCTGCTCCCCGCAGACGGGCTTCGGCGGCGTTATCGGCGGTGCCATCTGCGTGCACTATAAATACAGTACAGTACAGCCTTGGTGACTCGTACGTAAGATCGAATGAGCGTGTTAAATAGGGCCGAGATGGACAAGGAGAGTTGCTCAAGAATATGTGTTGTTTATTGAAAAGAGAGGAAGCTTCAAGTTTCATGTGATAACACATACACTAGAGCCAGGTACTAAGCTACCTTACCTGGGTACCTTACAGTTACAGTTACAGTTGGAGTTACAGTATCCGTCCGTAGGTAATCAGTCAGCCACAGTCTCCCCCGTATCGCTTCCTTGCGGTGCGCATCGGGAGTGGTCACAGCGTATCGTAACCCACCGATAACGCCCTTACAAGCCTTCTAAGCCCAACTGCACTAATTCATCCATTTCATGACGCAACCAGGTCGATAATGAGAAGCTTTTAGTCCGCCGCGTGGAATTGTTGAGGAAAAGGTAGGTAGATTAGATTACGGGACGATCCGATCTTGTATCCGCAAATAATTGCTTCAGTGGCTGAGAGATCTCGTATCTCCGAGCCAAGCAGTATCAGTATATATTGCACATAAATACTCAAGTCAACCACTTTCAATATTTCATATGCCTTATCACGAGCCTCATTACAATTGGATGGATCTATACTCAAAGCTGAATTCATTGCAGTGCTAACGAGTAGTCTTCTTCTCCATGATCCTACACCTTTCATTCAGCTTCCCTCCTCTGTTCACATCCACTTCAACTTGAACCTCAACAGACAATCCAATGTTTGTCCAAGTGTACACCAGTCCCAGCCGCCGTCTATGTGCTGTGGCCATATCTAAAAACGCGATCATTCCTTTGCCATCTTCTTCAACCGTGGTATCCTAGCCTCTTTAACAGTCCAAGCACTCCGTTCCAAATCAAAATCGCTCTTCCCATGAAATAAAAATCAAGATCAAAATCACTAGCCGACGCCTCGCGCGCTTGCCGTCCTCCCGTATCATGAGTGGGTATCAAATGTAGCGACCGTTACATTCCTTGGAATCCTCCTCTTCCAGAGCCAAAGAAGCCTCCCCAATCCGCCTGCATGCCCTGTTCCGTAAACATTTGTTGTATTTGCCTTTCTTGATGCCGTTGTGCGTGCGCTCGTCGGTTTGACATGGCGTGCCCTTGGTGAATCGCGTGCGTTTGTGACACTGGTCGCCGTTGTTGCATCATCGGTTGACCGGGCTGCATTCCCATTATGGCTGATGGACTGGCGAACATCGGTTGGTGGCTCGGTGCACCCATCATGGGCTGGCCCTGCTGGTGCATCATGTAGGGCGGTGGTTGTCCAAAGATCTGACTTTCCACGTCGTCGAAAGTTCCAGTCAAGAAGAGTTGCATATCTTGATTCTGGTCTCCCATGGTTGTGGGTTGGTCCGTCTTGCCCGGGAATCCCAATTCCATCATAGGTTGGTTTGGATAGGCAAAAGGATCCTCAGACGGGAACATGAGCGAGTCCAGTTTGTTGACAGGGTTGTGCATACCCATTTGCTGTCCTGCGTAGGGGTAGCGCTGAGTACTTGTCGCTGCGCTGCTGGTCGACTCTGGGGTGCTTCGCTGCAAATCAGGAGACATGAAATCACCGAAGTTGGCAGAGAAAGTGTTATCTTGGAAGGCTGTCATGCCTCCTCCGGGCAGATCCATTGTTCCTTGGGACAAAGTGGTAGGATACGAGCTTGTTGACATCTGGCTAGCTCGAGTGAAGTCTGTCGTTCCTATTGAGGACATGCTTGCGGGAATTGGAGTATGATGAGACGAAACAGAGGAAGGCCGTCCTGTAGGGGCAGGTCTCTTCTTTGAAGGCGCTTGTCGTATCGCTCCAGCATCCAATTGCTCTGGTAATTGATCAAATAGAGCCTGTTTCAACAATGTCAGTAAAAATTACTAGAGTTCGAATGTTAGACCATACCTTGAGGGCACCGGTAACTCGCTCAGCCGACATGCTCTTCTCCGCCAGGGCTGCAATCATTTGTCTACCAGCTCGAGCATCTGCTAGAACCTCACCAGAGCCGGGTTTCTCGGGGTTTTCTGTAGCATAGAACACAAGTGACAAAACGGCAAAGAACTCAGTGTACAACATGAACCAGTACGGTCCACTGAGAACCCGCTGTTTGCGGATTTCCAATCCAATGTGCACAATGTTACGAGAGACGCTGATGGCTGCGGCTGCACAAGCATATGAGAGCTCATCGACCTTACTTCCTTGACTCAGACGAGGAGAGACGTAGTGCAAGAATGGTCGGTATAGCACAAGTTGGACATGTGCATAGGCAAATCTTAACAGATGACGGATTCTGTCACCTTGGTTAGTAATGCTCTTACAACATCTTCAAATACTTCAGTGCCGCACTTACCGAACCGTCTCAATTGGCCCCTCGCCGCTTGGGCGCCAATGCTGGGGTAGCCTTTCAAACCAAGAATGAAGCTCAGCTTCAATTTCCTTGATGCGGCCATAACTAATTAGATAGGTAGAGGCAGGTTTGTTGTCTTTTGCAGCGGTCTGGCCCAATCCCTTGGTTGGATAGACGTATTTCGTGACCTTTGCTAAGATTTCCATGAGTTCTGAATGGGCGTTGAACGCTTGGAAAAAAGATGGTGATCCAGGCGGTGGTCGCAAAATGCCGGTGTGTGTGATAAATTCGTCATCAACTTCCAAGGGGAATGGCTGATCGATATCGTCCACGTTAAGGAGGAGCGGAAAGCCAAGTAATGTAGAAACATAGATATCCATTTGTCGAACGACGTAGAATACGCGTTTTCTGACTTCCTGCTCAATCGGATCGATTTTCTCGTGCTGCAAGTGTCGATGAAGGCCTATTCGGAGTGACGAGCGCAGTGCAATACCAACGAAGGAATAGCAGCTGCTGAGATTCGAGGTGGCTTGGAGGAAAAGAATAATGAATAGAAGAGCTTGTAGTGAAATGAGGTCGCGGCAATCGGTCACATCGTGTAATACAGATCGCGCAGCATTGTAATATTTGAGGCCCTCTTCCGTCGCATCTTGATAGGGCATGCTTCCTGGGTCGTTATCGTCGAGATTGTTGTACATACACCCAAGAGACATGACGGAGAATAATAGTCCAAGATATTGCGTTTCGTCCTTGGTTAGATTGTCCAGTGGTCGTTCGTAGATCTTGTCCATTTGCTCGTAGAAAGTGGGGACGTGAAGGATTCGAACGAGACATGTCGCGCAGCTAAGGGAGTAATAACACAGCTTCCGGGCAACATCCTTTGGCGGGAGCTCTGGGTAGCTTGGAGCTGTCGAGAAGGGTGTTCCGACTGAAGATAATGAGGGGGACTCAAGACCAGCCGGTCGTTCGGCACGAGGCAGAAACGGAGCTTTTGAGGACGAACCAAGCATTCCTCGGAAATGATCCTTCATACGTTTCAAGAACACAGCGCCTGAGGAGTTGCCGTGAAATTCCAAACTTCCCTTCTCGTCGATATCAAGCTGACCAACGGAGTCGATCATCGAGGTCAGATGGGCTTCATTCTGCTCAGGCTGGGGTGGTGGTGGAGGAGGCTGTCGAGCCTTGGAGGCTTGGGCACGAGCATTTTCGCGATTGCGGAATTCTTGCTGAATTGCTGGATCAAGATTCGGGTCGGCCAGGTCGACATCGGGCATAAATTTGTGAAGTAGAGACTCGGCGCGTTGCAGTCGACTTTCCAGGGCTTCGATGTACTGTGGGGCCGGGTTTCTTCTCCTGTTTGAAGGTTTATCGTACGTGCATTCTGCATGTAACGGTCAGCCACCGCGTCGATTTCCAGTATGAGGGTTAAAGTGTATAAGAACAAGCGATTGAGCGATAAATTAGATAGAAGCCGCGTACCATAACTATAGACGGAGCAGTGCGTGCATGGTTGCTTGCCGTCACACTTAATCTTCTTCCGTCGGCATTCATCGCATGCGCGCGTTACTCGTCGTCGCTTCTGAATCGGTTGGGATGACGCGCCGGGTTGTGGGTTGCCGTCTTCGTCAAGATCGTTGTCGGACTTGATGCTCGCTGATGGCGACGGAGCGTCATCGTGCCAGTCGTGAGCCGACTGGCCAGCGTCGTTGTCACCGACGTCCGGAGGCATGTCGAACTTGGTTGAATTAGCAAAGGACCATGGAGTTAGCTGTTCGACATTGGTGACTTGAGGGGATAAGGCGATCGGGGTATGAAATTTGGAGGGTCTTGGCAAAGGCTAGGGCCCCATCGCCGATTGAACTCGCAGATGGGATGGTTTCCTTGTAAGGATACAGGGCAACGGACAATGTTGATGCGAATGCCAGGTAGAGAAGAGGAGGTGAGTTCGGGGGCACAACGCTGAGGCGCCAAGGAGCAACGAGGGGAGCCGAGGGGCGGGTGATGGATGTTGCAGGTTTTCACTCACCAGTTAATAGGCCTCTTGGCCACGATGAAAAGGGAATAACGAGCTGGGTATTATTATGAGAGAAAAAGAAGAAGGGAAATGTCGTCGTCGTTGTCGCCGCCGCCGTGCGGCAGAACTGGGAATTGATTGAAGCGGGCAGCCGAGAATAGTCGAGCAGAGTCAAAGGGACTACAGAGTGAATGAATTGCAGATGCAGGGTCGCAAGCGTAAGTTGTGAGGCAAGTGGTAGCCCATATCCCAATCGCCCCCAAGACTCACGGCCTAGGCCATCAGCGTTCGAGAGAGTTCAGTTAAAGGTCCCGCGCAGAAAGTGGCAGGGTCAAGAATAGAAATAGAAGAGTAAGGTAAGGTAGGTAGGTAGGTATCCAAGACTGAAATGAGTTGGTGATGATGGGGGAAGCGCCCTGGTAGAGAGAGTCTGAGAGTGAGTGCCCTGGTGCTGGCGCTGGTGTTGGGCAATAGACGGGGGATAGCCTGTCGTAGCAAGTACCGTTTCGTAGCGTGCTGCACTGCACTGACTTGACTTGACTTGACGGAACCTAACTGAACTGAAATGGGTATGGCCTGAGCCAGAAGGGACTAAACTGTTCCAAGTCAAAGAGAAAGGGATGAGTGAG